TATTCTTCTGATGCCCAAAGCAAGTATGAAACACAACTAGAAATATATTGTCGTCGACACGTATTGACTTATTGCATAACTACACTATTCTACAGAACCGAAACAATCTAAGAACTGCCCTCCGTCAAGGCTCATTGCCTGTTAAACAGCAAGCTGTTTTAACCAATGAACAGAACTACAGCCTACAAGAATAACAGTCTTCAACAGGTGAATGCAAGACACCGAGATAAACTTGATCACATCTACAAACTGCCTTGATGAAGCACACTGCGTAACATCTACAGTCACCTGACCTAGTTCTCATTGGCACCAATACGAGAAAGAAAGCCTTTGAAAATCATGTTTATGTGATACGATGAGCCAACCTCTTCAGGTCTCAAAGAACCGAAGCTCCACCATTGCCTCCTGATGCTTAGGAGAATACCAAGCAGTGGCCTTTGCGGAACCCAGGACCTTCAGAGCCCAGTCGATTGCAAAAACTGAGTCGTCCACACGAACGAAATGGTCTTGTTTTTTAGGGTCAATGGTAACTGTGGATTCAACACGAAAGCTGAAGGGTCCAACTATCTGCAAGAAGAACAAAGAAGAGTGAACTTAAAGTAACAAAGAATAGTGTGAACTTGAAATTTTCTATGATAGCATCCTATGTAACATAATCATCTTGTCTAGTTAATTTATCTTCTCGGAAAATAAGGAAAAAGCTAGCAACAAGGAAAAAAAGGGTAAAAAAGGTATACAATAGAATCCGTCTGCAATTAGACAACCTGGATGTAATCATGATATGTTTACCTTATCATTCAAAATTTTATTAAATGAAATTTGTTCATTAATGTCAGAAGTAGAGTACAATAGGATTTACATACTAAAACTGCATGTCATGATATCTTCTGTCACAGTACGAACTAGGAGATGGGGCTATATATCTAAACACAATTGGATGACATATAGTTAAGCTCTCTTACATTCACTGGCTTATGTTAATGATTATATGAGAGCTTTACTTAATATTTGGCGTTTGCCCCAGTATCTAACCGGTTTTCATAATCACTTTACACATTTCGACATGTAACTGGAACAGTAAAAACCAGACGTCAATACCACAAGTCTGCAATCATCAGTCAGAAAATGTGCCAAGCAGCACTGAGATTTTGTAAATGATATTATTTGGTGATAAACAAAAACACTAAGTAGGGGAATCACCTATTTTAAAGCATGAAATTAGTAGTAATTATCTATGCCAGTTTGGATAGACATCATAAATTCCAAAGTTGATTTTAACATGAAAACGGTGATACGGATGCTGCAGGCTAGAGCAGCATCCCTTGACCCTCATAACTAAGTAGTTTATTGATTTCAAGGAAAACTGATATCTGAACTGAAGTAGCGAATATCTAGGACACCAAGCAATTGTTTCTACAGAAACATCGATAAACTAGATATGTCAGAATATTTTTGTATATAATAAAGTACCACCAATGTTTTCTATCTTGCTGGAAAATGGCAATACAATTGAAGTCTTCATACCTTATTTCTATTATCACTTGAAATATCGACTAATTATTATAGTAAAGAATGTCGGGAAAAATATACATCCACCTATTGGTTGAACAACAACGAACCATATCCATTTGAAAATATGAAAGCAAAACAAAAGAGTAAATAGATCACATGAATTTGTGTCAGGGTAATCTTCATACAGAATGGCCTTCTAGTTCTAGCTTTCTAGGTATAAAAGCACAAGCTGATGAAAAAGGAAGATGTGATTCACCTGTTGTTGAAGAGAAACAATCACATCAGGACAAACATCACAGAATGTCTCTAAATCAGGGCGTCGAGAGAAGAAGAAATCTTGTGCAAGCTGAGAAGCACCACGTAAGAACAATGATCCTGAGGATATATCTAACCGGGCGCTTACCCTTGTCAAATCCAGGAGAAGCCTCTGAAAATTCCCGTGTTGAGCTGTAAAATTAACAGACGCAAAGAGGTCTGCAAAGGCAGCAAACTTGTTCCTCTCATCAAAATATTTAAAGGCATTGGATTTTAGTATTTCATTTTGCATGGACATTCTTTTTGAGCAATCCCCAAAAGAACCACTGGCTACTGCACCTGAACAAAAAGAAAGTAGAAATAGTTATTTTGTGCACAGCTGATAACACGTAAATCTAATAGAGAGGGTTACAGAATTAAAAATATAATTAATTCATGTACCCATGCAACTATAGGTGTTCATGATTCTTCAATGGACATAGCTCCAAACACTTGGCAGTAAATCATACAGGACAGGTGGTTTACCAAGCTGTAGATAGTATATCAGCCATTGAGAATGAACACTACTATTGACATATGGTATCTCAAGATGCATCACAATGCCAGGAAACATATGCATTGATCAATAAGTTATATTCCAGAAAATGTGTCAACAAAGAGGACAGCATGACTTGTGAATGAAAACGTTTATAAGGCAGCTAGGAAAGCAATAGCAGGACCTCTAAGCAAGTAGAAGCAAGAGTGTTTCCTTGAAATAAGCTTACATAACTAATTTCCGAAGATCAACAACAGGAAAGGTGAATGCTTACCAATGATCCCGGTGAACGAAACATGAGGTTCTGAGAGAAATACATCATACGGCTGGACATTTTTTAGCTTATCTTCTTTTTTCCTCCAAACATCAATGCTTTTCTTAATCGAAACAGCTGCCTTAGCACATAACCCTGGTAACAGAGCAACAGGAACATCACTGGTTTCTTCACCACCACCAAAACATTTTGGTTCTCCACTATTCTGCTGCAATAGTACATGATAACTCAATCCAGACTCGGAGCCAACTGAAGCCAGGTCAGCTGATAATGACAATGGCACATCCCAGTAAACCCCGTTTTTATCAATGAATAATCCAGGCCAAGATGCTTCTAATGTAATATTTTGATGAGGAAGCTGGAATCAATGAAGAAATCTTCAGTTTTAATCCAAAAAATTTAGTAACAACTATCATTAGTTAAGTAAACTGATTGTTCCATAAAGAAGGATGAAATTTTCCATGAGTCAAGTCAAACCTTCATAACTAGATACCTAATCAATATAGGAACATAATGTGTTCTATTGAGAATCCCAGTGTAAGCACCATGAATACCCACAAATAGCTAATATATACCAAATAGCATAAAAAGTATCCAGATAATTTGCCTTGTGTCGAAATATTGCTTTGCCCCGATCCCCCTTCTTCAGATTGTACAGCTCCAGTAGCAAAGTGGTATCTGGTGTAATCAAGAGTTCTGTGCCAACACCTAGAGACATAACATCATGCAGGTGCCTTTTGATATCATTGGACCAGGAGACCTCTTGCCGATTTGATAACTTCTCTTTCACAACAGCTACAAGCTTCTGTACATGAAGTTGCTCCAAGATAGTAAAAGACCTGAAAAGAATACGCCGGGTCGTTAATGGTAGTGCACATGTGTTTTGGTCAGATACATCTTACACACCGGGTTGTTAATGCCAGTGCATATGTCACAATCAGGGGCAAGCAATCGTTGAATTTTACAGATTTTTTTTGCCTATGACAGGAAAGGGTTGGAATGAACGAAAATAATATCCAAATTCTGTTTAGAAACAGAACTGGACAAATCTACTACTGATGGTTTATCTAGCAGACTGTTGATGATTGGTAAGCGGGTACAGAAACCATTGCCCTTGAGATCCTGAGTCTCCTGACACATACTCAATCACATACATTGGCATATATGGACTAGAAGGTGATGGCTCCAAGCAGATGTTTTTTACATAATCCCGAAACCAATCTCGAACCATTTAAGAAAAAAGCAGACTACATAGCTAGAATTATTCCACGGTTACCTCAAATGAACCTACAGGAACCAAGCACACAAAAACACATCCATCGTCAGTTCATTAGAAGTTTGAGCGGCGTGACGTTGCGAACCACATTTCAGAATCTAATAACCGCATAAACTTGAGCTGCGTAGATATGTACAGATACCATTTTTCTCACTTGAATTTTGCAACATTGCAAGCCTGCATTTCGCTATCTAATTAACCGCAGCAGCCTAAATACGAGCACTTCCTCTGTCTCTCTCTCTCTCTCTCTATCTCTCTCTCTCTCTATCTCTCTCTCGTAAGATCGACCGTGAGTGGGGGGAGACGGGAGTGACTTTCAGTTACCACTTACAAGTTGTGGGCGAGGTGGACGAGGTGGGCGTGGTGGACGGAGAGGCCGGCGCCGGAGGCGGAGAAGGAGGGGACGAGCGGCGAGGCCATGAAGCGGTGGAGGAAGTCGAGCTGCTTCGTGCGGGTGACCCGGGGCCCCCGCGAGAGGCCGAGCGGCAGCGGGTCGCCGGGGACGGGGCGCGCCGCGCCCTCCATCGTCGCCGGCGTCTCCACGTCCAGCTCCCACCGCCCGTCCCCGTCCGCCATCCATCGCATCCGCCGCAACATCTCCGCCGCCGCCGCGCGTCGGACGCGGGCGGCGCAAAGGAAGCTGGTGACCGAGGCGAGGATAGGGGGTTTGCCTTGAGAAAGTGCGGATTATACTCGATCGAACTGCACACACAGTACAAGCGTATTTTGTCAAAAATTTCGAAATACAAATTCGTTAGGGAAAACTCAAATACAAGTATGGAGTTGGACTTGTTTTTTCTCCAATCTCAGATGTAAATCCCTCTTTATTTTATTCACTTGTTAGGTGATGAAAAAGCTCTTTAAAAAAAAAAGCTTCATGCAATCTGGCTTCTCAACCAGTCATCTGTTTTTAGATTATTATCAGTCATAGACTAAATGTGAATTTTAAATTTTAATTTTGGAGTTCATTTGGATTTTTTTATCCAAGTCTGTTTTTCAGCATTGACTTTTAAACTACAAATAACACATACTAAAAATATAAAAGTTTTACTTACAAATTGTTTTCGGCTGCTTTGTTCATGTTTCCACATAGCCCAAGCTCAAACGATCAGAGCAGCTCAACTAATTTATGAAAACATACGAAAAAAAAGCATACAACAATGGGACTTCTTCTTATTTTTCTGGAATTTAACTGTTTCAAGTGACAGTCCAGAGTTTAGACAGATGCTGAGATGATCAGATGAAAATCTTACAAAACTTAAAAGTTTACAAATTACATGCCCAACTTTCCACGGTCGTTCTGCCTAACCAAACCAAATTTCTTTTGAGTCGGCGAGCAGAAAGAAGAAAACGACCGCACGGGCTTATTCCAATCGTGTTATTACAAGCTAATGACTCTACTTACACCCCAAGTACACACAGCTATACACGACATAATCGCTACGTAACGCGAAAACGTTCCAAATGGCCTGCCTCGCTGCATCAAGATCAATCGCCACGGCTCACACACTGGCACAAGCACGTCCATCCAGCTGCCTTTCTATCTCTACCGATTTTTCTCCCAACTCCACCACATGAATGATGAATCGAACGAATGTCAGTGTTGTTGCCTCCGGGAATAGGAATGCACGTCATGCCCAAGCGTCTGTAACATGTGCTCAGAGGATAAACAAGGTCGTAAAACAGATGAGACGGGGAGTGCGGCAGTGATTATCTTATGAAGAGACATTAAACAGTGGGCTAAAGAGACGATAGCATGGAAGTCAGAGCATTTGGATGTTCTACTGTCTTTACGGAACTGGTGATAGCAAACTGAACATATGCTGCATTCTGCAACCAGATGTAGTGTTTTTCATTTTGGCAGATTTAGCAAACAAGACACAGCTCTACTTGCTGCTCAAATTTTTGTCTTTGATTGTTTTAAGGAAACAGAAATATCAGGTCTCAATCAGTCGAAATGACTATGATAAAAATGTAGAAGGTAAAAGGGAAATAAATCATCTAGAGTTTTGCAATTACCTGTTCTTGTGATTGGAAATACATGAATGGAGTATAATGTAGAAAATTTGAAACCCTTGATGTGTATATATCAGCATATCTGCACCGAGGACAAAATAATTGCATTTACACAGATAAAATTTGGGCTCATAAAATAATATTCACCACTGCAAAACCATAACCACTCACTTTTCAATTTGCCTCGTCAGATGACTCTTATCCCATAGGCCCGTACGTGATAGCCAACCCCATCTTAACAGGCAAAAAAAAAATGCTTGCTTAGCTTACAAAGGTATTATAATTCTGTAGTTCTGGCATAGGCATTATAAACAAAAAGCAAATATCAAAGATTCACTGGGATTCGGAAGCAACAAAACATATAAATGCAAAGGGCCTCGCGTCGTAACCGCTCTTCTAAAAGGTGTTAATGAACGTTAGACCAAAAGTAGTTACTAATGATTAGGGGCAAATAAGGATAAATTATGGTGTCTGGATTCCACAAGTTTGTTTCAGTATGGTTCAAAACCACAACCCCATGAAAGCATGATTAAATGTGATTGGCCAAACCCAACCTCATTGCATAAAATCAAATCTAACCATCCAATCATAGATTAAAAGGCTATGGTCCTAGCACTAAGGGTTGGTCCTAGCATACTCCTCATTTCCTCAGATTGAAGATATTCTTTAATGAAAAAGAGGAAGATATGAGAAGCTAATTGCAAGTTAACCCTGTTGATATTCTCAACTCTCAATCATCAAATTACAAATGCAACTACGAAAAAGAATTACAACTGCAACTAACTGTTACTTATTTGATTGGATTCCCATATCCACTGTGTCCAATGGATGGAATTGGAGTGAAGTAACGACAGTATATCATAGAAGGGAAGCAAAGCATCAGCAAGAAAAAAGTGGGTTCTCGAGCAATCTATCTTAGCACGGTCTTATATTTAACTTTTCACACCTCATTGCACCCTAAGAGTCATTTCATAATAGGCCAGCCTATTATTACTGATACAAGAATACCCATTATCATTAGTAACTGCTTTTTTCTTTAAGATTCACAAACCTTTCTGAATGAGAGGTCTGAAACATGGCCTTTAAAATATGATTTTTCTGCAAAAATACATAGGGCAACAGATCTAGAAGCGACGAATTTCAGACGTTTCTTGCATTCAAAGACATGAGGAATTACGCAATGACTGCATGCCTGCTTTACCTTTTATTGAACAGCTCTCCATCTGATTCTAGCATTGGTGCAATTTTTTCATCTAATCTCTGCATAACAATGAGCAACTTTTGCATACTTTCTGTAAGCTCCTGATCATCCATACAAGTAGCAGCAAGCGTCTGGAAAAGAAAACAATTGATACTTCAGTAGAAAATAAACTAAATCACCAAACTATCTTTATTTTTGGCTTAAGATTAAGATAGTTACTACATGATAGATTAGAACAGCTGAAATTATACTGTTACCAACATAATGTATAGGGCAGAATCTCATGTTTCTCAAGAGAGAAAATTGAGACATGTTAAAGCTAACAAAAGCTTCATTGTTCCAATTTAAGACATTAATACCTGTGCTGGGCGTGAATTTGTTCGTCTCTGCAGAGCCAGCCGAAGCTGGTTAAAAAGATCTCCCACGACTTCCTTTTGTTGTATAAGTGTGATAAGCTGTTCTTTCTGAACATGGCTTCGAATTAGTGCATCAAACTGCAGAAAACAGGAGAGAACAAAATGGTCACAGGACATGATAGCATGCCTCTATCAGCAACTAGAGCATGCATAGAAACTAAATGCTGCCCTTACCAGTTAGTCTTCAAACGAATTCAGAATCAATATATACACAAATATTGCAGATAAGCCAGTTAATGGTCTAAAGGGTAAAGGCATCAGCTACATAATGGGATCATATATTCCAGGACTTGAGATCCTCCATGGCATTGTTTTGTCACTTCAATATTTCACCAACAGAGAACTCCGATAAGTGGCACCCTTGTGTAAGTTTAGGTATTTAATAGGCCAAAACTAAAAGTCATGGACCTAAGCGAGACAATAGGACATGCGTAAAGACCAAAGACTGATAATTAGAGGACAATCCGTGATTCAAAATATGTTTTCCTCAAGAAAGTATAAGAAATCAAATAAAGAACAGGGGAAAGATCAGTTATGTAATTAAAAAGGGTATCAGAAAAGACTTTCAACCTCACAGACATATAGCTGGAAAACTAAATTTTAGTGCTAAGTCATATACTCATATATATAGATCGCCAGTGTGCATAAATTTAGTGTTATCAATATTTTCTTATGGTAAAGCCCCTCAGCTGACAGTTCTCATCCTGTGCTGAAGGTAAATGCATGAGAAAGAGTACACTGACCTCGTCTTCTAGTTCTCTGCAGATTAGTGCTGTCCTCCATCGTAAATGAACTTTAGACTGGCTTACATCTGTGTAAATATGATCCCCCACATATAATATTTCATCTCCATGGATGTCTAGTGACTTCTCAACCATCTGAGCACTGCCACCAGAGTACAATCCACCTAAATACCCAATTAAGAAAAGGTTCACAAGTCAGTTGCAGAAAAGAATGTTTTCTTTCAAGCTAGCTGCTAGTGCATCAGAAACACATGCTTAGAAATGAAACAATATTTTATGGTTTCAAGATATATAACAAAAATACAACCTAAGTCGGAGAGGTAGCAGAGAAAGGAGGTATCTCAATTATTGATGAACAATGGCATAGGGAGAAGAAATCATCTTAGATACAGAAGACTGAACAGTGTTTTCTTCGCTGTGTGATGCACTTGCTCTTGTTCCACCTTATGTTATAATGCCATAAAATAACAACACTCAAGCGAGCATATGCACATGCCTCTTGATCTCTTATGCAATTTCACAAAGAAACCTACTTGTGTTGTGGGCATATGGCACATAAGATCCACCTACGGAACTACAGAAAATCTGATCACTTCGGATTATTGTCTAACAGAGGTTAGATGTGCTTTCAGCTCACAGAAAGTCATAAGCTAGAGCTGTAGATAACTGATATGCAAATCAGTGTCCTGTTCCTCTCATAGCATGAATGAACTTGTATTGCTGTTTTTACACCTTATGTTTCATTTCCATCTACCGTTTTTATCGTTTTACCCTGCCTAGAGTTTAAATGAAACTATGGGCCTGTTTGGCAGAGCTCCAGCTCCATCTCCACCTCTCATGGAGCTGGAGCCCAGCCAAACAGTTTCAGCTCCACCCAAAATGAGAGTGGAGCTGGCTGGAGTGTTCTCACAAAATGAACAAGAGAGGTGGAGCTGGGTTCAGACTGCTCCACAACTCCACTTCAGACCCAGCTCTTGGGAGTTAAATTTAGGAGTTGGAGCTCTACCAAACATGCCATAAAGTGTGTATTTGCTGGTTGAAACTTGAAATTGATCGTTTTAGAAATCAACAAAAGAAACAAAGCAAAGAGACTCTAGAGAAATTTGGCCATAGAAGAAAAAAATCAAGATTTACACCTGAATTAGCTTTAAAACAGGGACGCATTAATCCATCATTTGTTACAACCTCGTATAACGGATGAGAGATTTGGAAAAACTCTGGCTTCCTTGCAGAGACTATAACCTACAGTAAGAATAAATCAAGTGATCTTAGTAAAGTTTTCAGCATGGCAGGCAAGCAACGAATGACAAACAGTTCAATCTAGAACCAGCAACTTGATTACTCACCATTTCAAACAGATCTCTCCATGCCATATCATTAGGAAGGAAGCGATTGAATGCATGATTCATCATTTTGTTCGTATAGTGGTAATCTGAGTTTGTAATAAGAAGCAACCTTTTTCCAGCCTGATGAGTTGAAAGGGGAAATCAGCAAAGTAATGCAGAGAAGTACAAAAGTTCTAATATTATTAATGGATCATGAACTTGTAAGGTAATTGTGTGTTAACCTCCTTTTGATCCAGAAGAGCTAAAGGCAGTTCAGGATCAGGCTCTACAAATCGTTCCGGCTCAGCCATTATCTCACTCTACATTTCAACCAGCTAAAGAATTTTTTAGACCAATATTGATCATATAGAGTATTGTCATATCTAATGAGTAATGACAACCAGACATTACCTTGAGTTGACCTTCTACATGCGCTCGAAAAAGTGCCCTGGAAACAGCCTAAAAAAGAAAAGCCTTAAAATTTTACAACAACAAACGTGCACAACGGTAAAAGAGGTAGCAAGGCTAATTACATTGTACAGTCCTTTGTAATCCAGTGGCCCAAGTTCAGCTGGCACCAACCCCTGATCCAACTTGTCGACCATCTGAACAGAAGACCCACGCCCATATAAATATGGATCAATTCAAACTTCAATAGACATTCAAGGTAGCACACTATAAAATGTAAATGTCAGACAGTCTAACCACACTGAATTTTCAATTAAAAGTGCAAAAATATTATCAATGAATCAAACAGGACTGATCATGTCAAATTATATGTATTAGGAGTAGATACTGTCCTTTGTGATATGAGAGTATGTTTGCTGGATTTCTTAGATCACAACCTGGTCTCTGTAATCACACAGGACACTTTTTTGCAAACCATATGTGTATTACATAATGTATGTAAAACGTCCAAACTCCAAGCACTCAGAGACAAAGGAGCATTATTCATGAATGAAAAAGACAAGAACATTAAAAACCTAGCAAAGAGAACTCTAACCAGGCCAGAACTGAGCGTGATTTTTATCTGAATTTGTCATCCCATGACTGCAATTCCTATCAAGTGTTTTACTAACACTGAAACTACTCTTGTACACACATGTGAACGATGGTTCTGGATTGATGGATGATGAGATGTCAAGTATCATAGCACAAGCATGAAATTTTTTAGATAATGGAAGCTTTATTAAGACTCTATCAAATACACCAAGATGATACATTCCAACTGAGCCCAACCCCGGCCTCTGCATAAAATGCACACAGCCAATAAAAGGACAAAACTAAACCCCCATCACGAAACATAGATATTAGTGACTATCAATCCGTAGACTAGGTCGCCACCCAGCACAAGCATGAAATGAACACTATTAGATAGAGAGACAGGTAATTGACCTGCATGAACATAACAGCTTCTGACACAGAGAAAAGGGTATTAAGGAACTCCCATCTACTTTCTTTCCGTAGATCCACCAATTCTCTTCCATATATTTCACTGTTCATGGACATGAATAAGATTTATTATCTTCTCTCAGCTCAGGACCACAGTAAAGCTGACAAAATGTCTTAACAATACCTCACAGCACTAGTAGAAAGCATCTGGGTGCCATGCATGGCCCTTTTAATGTAACCAAAACGATCAGCTTTGACCAAATTCCCTTTGTCTTTATCCATAATTAGACCCCTGATGACCTGTGAGAGTAATGGTATCATTAGGGATTATGCATGTGCCTTGAGATATTATGAATTATGGAGTACCCAATACTACAGTACAGTACCAGGTCAGGATCAAATTCAAGGTCATCTACAGGGAAACCCATGCCCTTCAGATTGGCCATACCATAATCATAAGCACGCCCTTCCCAAGCCTGCATAGATGTAACAACAATTTGGTTTTTCTGCAATTTACCACAAGGACCATATGGAAGGACACAAAGCACTCATGTTGTTTTTTTATGTCTGATGTGAGAATCAGGAGGCCATACCTAAATTATCAGCTAGTATCATGTCATATCAGTTCAACAAATATGTAAAATTTTGTACATATGTAATCATCTACTTTAGAATGATTCGTAGACAATTTGATGATATAGATATTGAAGTACCATCACATTGTAGTGAATCAATGTATAGTCCATATCATAGCCAATGACACTGATGGATCGAAGATTTAGTGTCCTGGTGCAAAATATTCCACGAGGAGAGTGTCTTACGGAAAAAGGATCCTGCGTGTTAACAACCATTCATTAATATTGTATCATCATAAAGCTAGTTTCTTCATCAAGAAGATAATCAATCAAGATACATCGCGATAGTCAATCAAGATACATCGATAGACAAAGGAATAACAAATCATTGGAGTTAAAGAAGGAAACGTTTAGCAGTAAAAAGATAATTGCAAACTATATTCTGATATCCGCTATACAGAAATTCAGAGTGAATGGCTAAACACTGAACTCTTGGAGCCTTTTCAAGAGTTCATGCTGAAATGTTGGGTAGACTTTAACAAAACATGCCATCAAGTGTTCAGAATTTTCTTGGATCTCTTTTCACCCTAATTGTTTGGCTTTTGCCATGATTCATGTGAACTGTTGGATATCACTAAACATTGGGATTTGGAGTTCATGTTGCTACAAAGGCATGCCTTCTTCTGGATTTTTATAGAAAACTCCATGTATTTTCAAAACAATCGTAAAACATTTTCAAGCGAAATTAGTGATTTTTTCACTTTGGAAAGAAAAATAAATTTTATTAAGCTTTTCTACAATAGACGAAGACTTCTACATATTCTGCTATTCAATTGTAAATTGTTTTCCAAGAACAGAAGTGAACAATATTACAGTATTATCACCTTTATACCATTCTTCAAAGTTAACTTCGTCTTGGTAATTGACTTTCTCAGTGCAACATGAGTGTTACAAGTTACAACAATTTGATGAACACAGTCATGAAAGTTCTATTTCCATGCTAGTGATTTGAGATGATGATCATCATGCCGGAAGCAAATTGAATGCCAAGTTTTAAGTTACTTCAGTCACAGGCTCACAGCAACAATAGGTGCCCTACCGAATATATTTAACAGAATATGAATAGAAATGGAAGAAAGCATACCAATTACCAAACATCAACAAGGAGGTAAAATAATGCTAATAGAGTAGAATATTACTGCAATTCCCAACTCACGGAGCAACGATTCAGCTTCTCTCGCTTCTTGCCAAGCTATCTCCTCTATAGGGCCATGCAATGTCGACTTGCCATTCCCACCTAGAATGCAAGCATTTCGGATTAATTATAGCAAAGACTCTGGCACGGTTTTGATGGTGCTACATATGAGGATGCCTGATGCTGTAATTTAGTGACATCGTAGTACTGCTAATTTGCTTGTTTAGTCTAAGTGTCTAACATAAATCGAATCATTAACAACTACGGGTTAACAAACACAACATCTCCTCTGAACAGGGGATTGCAAGTAAACAGCTCAAATTTATTTTGTGTGGAGGTTGGAAGAAACCAGTAGCTCACCAAACGCGTCGAGATGCTCCCTCCGCACGTTCAAATCCCCCTTGGTGCTCTCCCCTAGGTAGTCCACCCGCGAGAGCCTCGACGAGGTCAAGGCGAAGTACGACTCCCCCTCCTCATCCTCGTCCTCCTCGTCTCCCAGGCCCCCCTCCACCGCGACCGGCCTGGTGGAGTCGAGCGCGCGGCACCGGAGCGACGACCAGAGGGAGAGGGAGAGGGAGAGGGGAGGGCGCGGGACGCGGAGGGAGGGAGCTCCGAGGCGGCCCCGCGGCCTGCACCTTCCCGTTCCCGTCCTCCGCGCCGGAGGCTGGAGGCAGAGGCGGCGCGCGAGCTCGATGGAGTCCGCCATTGCTGCCGCGTGCGGCGCTGCTGCTGCTGCGGCTTTGGGGCGTCGCGAGTAAAGCCTCGTGCCTCCGCGAGAAGGGGGGGGAGTGGTGGTGGTGTGGGATGGGGGCGTCGGATCGGGCTGACTGGGCAGTGGGGCCGGCCCGTGGACCGTGGAAATTGAAAATAGGGAGAAAAGAGCCTAAGCGTGGGGCCCACAGTTACACCAGATTTCTGATTCCGGATAATAAATATTCATACGGTTAGTAGTATTAGTGAACAAATTTTGTTATATGTTTTTAATAATATATTTTAGAAACAAGTTATCAAAGTTTGAATTTGTTAGCGTGAAGGTATTTTCTTTGTCCTAAAATATAACTACGAAAGGAGTAGAAAAACGGCCACGGAAATTCCCGGTTGACCAAGCTCGTTTTCATATAAGGGTCCTGTTTTCCGACCGTACCTTTTTTTTTACTATTTATAAAAAAAAATTTCTAATTTATTTCTACATCGTATTAATGTTGATACTGAGCAGTTTAAATGATAAATATAGTCGATTACCGATCGATCGAGCATCGTTGTCGAAGATATGTTACCGACTCCGACCGTTTTCACCCCTCGGAGTAGTACTTAAGTGGATGGCATTTTAGCCACGGGGTTAATCACATACTCCATCTCTTAATTTCAGACAAAATATTAACAGAAGTTTGAGAGGAAAACACATCCTTGCGAGTGTGAAACTTCATGCGTTTTTAATTACTTGTGATGGATTCAAAATGCCACAGAACTTTGTTTCCCTTTTCCTCAAAAGGAGTAATAACTGGTTGTGTGTTTTCACGTCGTTTGAGTGGTTGATCCACCGAACCTGCTCCTGTATGTTCCATCGGAGGCTCGGAGCAAAGCACGCAGCATAGATTCTTTGTTTTCAAGACGACAGATGGACAGAGATACGGCGTCGCAGAACATGATCGCTACATCTGTGGTGCCAGTAAAACTTGCTAGTCCTATCGCTACGACCGGTCAGTACAGTTCATCACTTTGTGCAAATAAATATCGTGTGAGATGCCAAAAAAACATACTCATATATCTTCAAAAGTTATCTAAAAAAACTATGAAAAAATTAAAACAAACAATAGGAAAAGCGTGATCGTGATTTGATCACGTCTATTCATCGAACACGACGTGCTGACACTCTCAGGATTTCGCAATTTCGATATCGAATCAAAATCCGCTGAAGGATGGTATCATCAGATTTCGCGCAAATCGTTTAAATCCTGATGAAATTATAAAAAAGTAAAATCCAATTTGAACTTTTTTCTAAAAAAAATAACAAGACCAAAAATCGAGTAGTTTGCGTTATCTCTAACTCAGTAAAAGAAAAAAAACGGATTTCACTGAACCCGAACTGAATTAGTGAATTGTGAGCACACGTTAGTAGAGTGTAAGTGGGCTTACCTGCGAACCCGCTTATAGATAAAAATAATGCGTAATCCGCCGGTTTGACTAGTGGGTTAACTATAAAATTGACTTATAAATGACTTATAAATGAGTTTATAAATCGATCCACTTGTATATATTTAGATGCGGCAAATTAGACCGTGACAAAAAAAACCCATATAAACTATTATTTATATAAACTCGTGGGTCGGCCCGCTTGCACCCCTACACGGTGGTGAGCTCGTCACGGGGAGCACGGAAAACGTTCGTGACAGCCTCTCGTAGACCGACGCGATCCACGGCTTGGCGACGAACCCGACGCCACCCGCCGCCGCCGCCGGCGAGACCAGCTGCTGATCGTCGGCGTCGTCCCTAACCCCCGGCGCCCCCCTCGTCGTCAGCTCCAGCCCATCGTCGTCGTCGTGGTCGTGGTCGTCGTCCTCGTCCCCTCTGGCCAGCCCCCGCGGCACATGCGGCGGCGTCGAGACCGGCAGCTCCTCGTAGCAGCACCAGTCGCCGCCGTCGTCGGCGGCGGCGGCGTCCACGCGTAACGGCGGCACCGCCTGGTCGCCGGGCGGCCGGCAGCAGTACGCGCCGGCGGCGGCGCCGCGCCCGCGCGCGCAGCACAGCGCGAGATTTAGCGGCATCGAATCGAACGCGCGAGAGGCAGGCAATGGCAATCTCGTCGGGAAGGAGGAATCAGCAGAGAGAGGTCACCAGGAGATCGATCGCGCGTTTCGTTGGTGAGCACAGTTTCGGACTAAGTTTGATTGGATTTGGGAGAAAGAAGCGATGCAAGTTTTTGTAATGCGCGCGATTCGAATTTCGAAGTCAGGATATGGATGCAGTTTGATTTTGATTTGATTTGAGGTGCACCGGGGCGGCGAAGGATCGCTGGTAGGGTTGCAACTCCAACTCGGATTCTAATGAAACAACCCGAAACGTACACTGAAAAGCACGTTTCAGTACTCTAGTCTTTACACGGGTTATGGAGGACACCAGTGATCTCTCTTCTCTTGCTCTTCAAAAATACAAATTCACAAAATAAATGTTGTCAGTCCCCTTCTCTCTCTCTTCAAAACAAACAAATCCAATACGTTTCTTTCCCTTCAAATTTTCAAAACAAATTCAAAACAACAAATTCAATACATTTGTCTTTCTCTTTTTATTTTGACTCGAAAAAGGTAGAGAGGCAAGACCTTATGACCATTTTATTAATGGCGGATCAAAGATTATTTTGTCTTTCTCTTCAAAACAACAAATCCAATAAATTCGCGTTGTCAGACATGATCACATGAAGGACGATTCTATTTGAATGAGTAAAAAACCCCTAATTTATGATGTTTAAAACAGGTGATTCATATTTTCAGAGACAACTTGAGGTGAATGCTAGAGCAAATGCGAACTATGAACAGAAGTGCAGTTCTTTGGGCAGGCCATATTGAGCGTAAACATCTTGCAGAGAGCACACAAAAATACATCCTCATTGACAGTCCTTTTCTCTTCAAAGAAGAATCTTATCAAGTAAATAAAACCCACAGAACAACAAACCTAGCGTGTTTCCTTAAACTTATTAAACCCATCAGGTTTCAGGTAAAATAATAACAATCATTGTCCACGGCAGCCAGTGAAGTGGATACTCCTATGGAGGGAAGGTCTTCAGGCCAAGTTACATCATGCATAAACATCTTCCAGAAAAAGACATACAATATATCTCCTAGACTGAATCAGCAAACGATACAGAGGTTTGCTACCTAGCTCTAATTCTTTAGATGATGATCAAGACCTAATATTTCTATAATACTATCCAGTCTTGTGTCCAAGTTTGTCATAAGCTGCTATATTCTGTGGTTCACACTCTGGGCTGAAGAGTCGCACGAGCAATGCCGATGCTGAGCTCACAGAGATTGCTCCGCATGATGCCCACCTGAGACTCCTTGGAACTGTTATTCTTGGACCTACAAAAGAAACACAAGGTCAGTACTAACTACCATTGGCAAGATGGATAGAATATAGAACAGAATGAATCATGGAGAATTAAATGGATAAGAACAATGACCGTAGTGAAGGCGGCAGAGCACCCAGAAAGAAAGGGCACCGCCAACAGAGAAGACGCCAGCAGTCTGTCGCATCAACCGGGAGCAAGGCTTAGACTCTGGACGCATTACCTCCCCCTCTGACCATCCCAGTGCTCGCCGGAGTGCCATTGCTATCCTTGGCTTCTTTGGCTAGCTAGAGATTCTACTGTTCTGCTGGAGTTGATAACTGGTTCAGCTGATCAAACTTCAGGGGTTTCCAATTTCAACACCTCCTGGCTCCTAGAATACAATTATTTGTAACTACATTACATAGCATTCATTTTTTTTCTTTTAATAAAGAATAAGAGATTCCTTTCCTCTTTTAAGCCTTGCCATTAAGGCTATGCCATCCTAAGGTGCTACTGTAAAGAAATGCTCACAAGAAAACCTAACTCTTCTTTTGGAATTAGTTTTGGAATTTCAGTATCGACAGTCTGAGAGGATCAATGTACATAGACTTACGCACTGCACTGATTTCTCATCTATTAGAGTGTTACCCATCTAATAAACAGCACTTAATCATCTATTTGGCAAACACTTAATCAATTTATAATAAACAGCACAGACTAATACCCAAACTCCTGCAGTCCTGCTAGTTTCAAAGAAAAGAAAAAAATGTATTAAGTATAATTGTATTCCACTCTGACTCTTGTGTATACTGGCCTTCACAGACAACAGAAGGTCTGCTTGTCTACCCATGGACCTCCATCCCGGAGGATAAGACTTGAAAAAATCTATGGACCTGTTTGGTAGGGCTTCAAATCCTAAATTCTAGATCCTAGATGCAAATCCTCTAGGATCTGGAGGTGATTGAAAAAGCATTTGGCTAAATATTAGCTCTAGAAATCCTATGAGTAGAAGGAAATGGACAATGATAACCCTTGGTTATTCTTCTATTTACAATATTTTACGCTCAAATAGGTTTACAATATTTGTATGAGACTTTTGCATCAACACAACAATGCATTTGGAACAACAATATATGGGTGAATTATATAACGGATATAAGCAGAATTGGCCATAAATTCAATGTGTTTAACATTTGCAAGTACTAAACTACTCATTGACAATTGTTCAACATATCAGATATGATAAGAAATCTTACAATATGGTATTTTAGTGCCATTCTTCCTAAAAAAAATAGCTGGACCATTTTTTCTCTTCATGTTTCAGACTAAAAAAAAAATCAACAATATGGTATTTCAGTATTACTTATTGATAGTGGCAGAACCAGGATCTCTACACGCCTAGGGCTCAAAATGAAGGCTAAAACTATCCATGGCAATTCATACATTGAAGTACAGTACAAGTGCAGAAAAAAAAAAGCTAGACTGAGCATCAAAGGAGTGAGTTGCATTTTTGCAATACCAGAACCCTTCACCAGTGTAGCATTCAAAACCATAATTCAAAAGAAAGCAATAAAAACAGAAAGCTCCTCTGACTTCTGAAACACTATACTCTAACCAATTGTGTTTTTGGAACCATATGACTTCTGAAAGCTCGTCTTCACACCTTCTATTTTTGTTTGTGGATATTTATGATCAACTTGTTGACATGGACCGGCGGGCCTAGGATTTTAAGGTTGGGTATTCGAAATAGGAAGAGGTAAAACAAAATTCAACCCAAAGCCTAACATTTGATATCTATAATTTCATATAGTTCTAACTAATAGTTGTATAATATATAACTGATATAAGCAGAATTGGCCATAAATTTAATGTGCTTAACATATGGAAGTACTAAACTACTGATTGACAATCGTTCAACATATCAAATATGATAAAAAAAAATCTTACAATATGGTATTTAAGTACCATTTTTTTTCTAAAAATAGCGGGACCATTTTTCCTCTTCATGTTTCAGATTAAAAATAATAATCAACAATATGGTATTTCAGTGCTACTTATTGAGTTATTATTGTGATACTTTGTGAAAAATATATGCACTACAATCTACAGATTAAGTATATATCCACGAATCCATCAACATCACGCCATCACACCATGGTTAATGCACAAAATTAGGCAGCCATTCACTACAATAAACAAAGTACAGCTCTCTTGAGTTAAAATCTGGTGTATACTTGTCCAGTCTACAAAATTAGGCAACAAATTGGGTTCAAATTTTCTCTTATATGGACCGCTTAAGCAGTTCAACAGGCAGCAAGCTAACAAATGTGCGATTCAAACTTCACATTCAACGAATTGGAAAGTGAGGATTGGATGGCTTACCTCTGGCAATCGATTGAATCGAATCAGAACTACTCGGCGAGGCAGCTTGCCAAGGGCGGTGGGGGCGCGCCGCGCGCGGTGAGCAAGGGGAGATGGCCGACCGAGCGAGAGAACGTCGTCTGCAACCGGCCGAGGGCGATGCCTCGACGGCGTCTGTGCGCCGCCGCGCTCGCGTGTGACGCGCTTCTGCTTCTGTGCGATGGCGGCGCCGCGCGTTCGAGCGAGGCGGAAGGCACAGGAGGTGCCGAAGAGGTCTAGGGTTACTTGATTTTGGGCCTTCGTTTCGGCTATTGGGCCTGCAAAATGAGGAGATGAGGGAGGTGGAAGGAGGGAACCAGCCTGCCAGGCTTTTTTATGGGGCTTCTTTCTATCAATAGTTTCTTTTCTATATTTTCCCATATACATACGAAATATATATTTCCTCCGTCCCATAAAAAATCAACTAGTGCCGGATGTAACACATTCTAGTACAACGAATCTAGACATGTATCACATCCAATGCTAGATTCGTTTTTTTCTGAAAAGATGAAGTACCTCATATATGTATTTTTTATTCAAAAATCTAGGTATTCATCTAAATACCCTTGAATTGAGCTGAGCCCGCCCGAGGGTCCGACCCAACAATACTCCCTTCTAGCAGCATCCCTCCCGTCCGAGGGCCCGACCCAACAATACTCCCTTCTAGCAGCATCCCTAATGTTTACATCCAAATGTTCAATTGGTGTGCGAAGCCCGGTATCAGCAACAACAACATTTGGAGCAAGCGCAACATTATTTTGCCTATTGTTACTAGCACTGGTTCCTGCCGTTTCTAGGGTTGGGGTGGATTCATCGGTTTCTGTAGTTGGAGTGGACTCACTGGACTGGACTGGACTTGGTAGAATGATTTTTAAAGTTGTGCTCCTCTTCATCTAGCAAATCAAACCAATTTCTAAATGACTCACTGTTACCAAATACAAAACAAATCGAGGACACTGAACACTTGACCTGGATTTGGGGGCAAATGGGGAATCAACCTTTGAGAAGTGGCTGACAAAAGGGTCGTGCTTCCCGCTGACCCGCTGTCGTCGGCCTCGGCTCGCCGCCGATGTGCGCGCTACCGCCGCGACCGGATCCCTGCCGCCGCCGGTGTGCGCTGCGGCAATCGTTGATGTGCGAGAGCGTGAAAAGAAAAGGGAACAGGATGGGGCGGCGCTCGTGACACACGACACCAGAGGAGAGGGAAGAGAGAAGGTTGGGTTGTTTATTGGGCTGGGATGAACATAATACGTGTGAGGCTGGGCCACCGGGAAAATCTGAAAAAATGTATGGGAACTAGTCCACTAAAATTTGTGGAATAAGTCCACTTTGACTCCCTTAAGCGACACGAATCTAATCCGTGACCCTGAATCACAAAAGATATAATCTTGACTCCTAAACTGTTAAAACCGGTGCAAATTGACTCCCCCGCTGACGTGGCGTCTACGCGGCAGTGTTGACCTGGTTTGTCATTGACACGGGTGCTTATGTGGCGTTAGAATTAAAATCATACACGTGGAACCCATTTGTCATTCACACAGAAGAAAAAATTGTGGGGCCCACATGTCAGTCTATTCCTTCTTCCCTTCCTCCTTCCCTTTCTCTCCCTATCTCTCTCCCCCTTAGGTGAGTGGGGGCCGCCGCTGGCGGCAGCGATGGCATGCGGGGGCCAGAGTGGTGGCAACGGGCGAGAGGGCGGCGACAATAGGGGACATGACTGCATCCTCATCAGCGGCAGGAGAGCAGCGAGAGAGAAGGAATAGGCAGGAGAGGGGATGCGCGTGGCAGTGGAGCTCACCGTGAGCTCGAGGCCACCCTAGCGACCCTATTTTCTCGATCAGGCCATACCGCTGACCCTGCCTTCTCTGAGCTTGGCCAAGGGGTATGGGCTCCATGCATGAGCGGAGACGGGAAGGAGGAGAGGGGCGGTGTGGTGCCGCTATGGTCGTCGGCCGTCGCTCGGAGAAGGGGGTGCTCGATGAAGATAGGAGCTCAAGAAGGAGGAGCAAGTCAGCCGACTGTCGCTCGAGAAGGAGGTGCCGCTGCCAAGCTCCGCATCTCTCTTAGGTGGTGTTAACGCCAGAATTTGGTAAGCCCAAAGTCATCATCGGCTTAGAGTCACTATCGGCTTCAGAGTCCTGGAATCAGCCGATGGGAGTTATCAAGTCGTCAATAGTCGGATTCCTGCTAGATTCGGTTAAGGAAATTAATCTACTAAAGAAAGTTTATCCATAAGCGACCGAGTTCAAAGAGGATGCGGCATGACAGTTTATCTATTAATTAGGAATAGTTTGTTAGTTTCCTTTTATCTTTAGGAAAGTGTGTTTAGTATCTGATAAGGACTTTATGTTTTCCTTTTATCTTTAGGAAAGTTTCTTTCTTATCCTACAAGGACTAGTATCTACCCATGGGTATAAATATGTACACCCAGGGTCATTGTAATCATCTCCACGATCAATACAATTCGGCGCATCGCCACCTTTTACCTTTTTTACTTTATTTTATCGTCCGGCGGGACTTGGCACCTGACGCGTGGCTGCATTGGTGTTCAATCTCCGGCTAAGGGGTAAATCCAATATTCCGCCGGCCCAGGCAATTGTATCGTTTACGTCGGCGTTGTTCAAGGCTGCATTAGTACATTCGACCTCTTGGATTGCTCTGGTTTGGATGGTATATTTTCCTACCTATTTATCATATGTCTTTGTTAATCTAGTCTTAGCATATCAATTTAGCTCTATCGGCTGCTTCTCGTTTTAGGGTTTCTGCCATTATCGGCTAAATCGCGTTGCTAGATTAGATTAGCTTAGACATCTACCACCCTGAAAACTCAGTCATCGGCTTGATTGTCTAGATATTATGTTTCTTTTTATACTTAGTGTTGCATCAATTAAGTTTGATCTACTAAGTCATGCTTAGAACTATAATCTCTAGCCTGCTTCATGATTGCCAATAAGGGTTTCATCGGGATTTCAGCCGATGAGTTATCTGGACATTGCATTGGCTTACAAGGATTGCATACATATTGGATTTAGCCGATGGCAATAAAGATTTAATTGTTTAATCTAATCTTGTGGATTTTATGGCAACGGACCTCCAGCCGATGTATGCTTTAACCTTCGGATCAGTGCTTATTCTATCATATTGTTAGCCGATTGGTTTATACTAGATTATATTGTTGTTATACTATATTATCGTCAGTCGATTGCCTTTATATCATTATCTACATTAGACATATAGCCGATAGCTCAAAACCCTATCGCTATCGGCTGGCATTGGTTATCGGCTGGCATCGGCTATCGGCTGGAACTACTCCATCGGCTTGTCAGCCGATTGACTATTTGATCTACTGATTACATATCTTGTCAGTTGCAGAGTCAAACTGACTGGCACGCCCGCATCTCATCATATTTGGACCTTCACTGGAGCTAAGCAGATCTCCCAGGCTAGTGTGTTTTTTCGCATCAACAGGTGGTCGACGCCGAGCTTCGCTTTTGAGCCTCGGTCAGGTTGGGCGGTAGTGGAGGAGCTCCGACGAGCTCCATCTCTCCCAGATAGTCGACACCGTCCCACGCCTACGAGAGCTTCATCAGGACGACGATAGTAATAAGGAGCAGATGCCGGTGGGCCATGCCTGGTGAAGCGAGCCGCTGCCCGCCGTGTCGCCACCGGGGCAGCTACCGCCGGTCTCCTTTTCTTCTTCACGGCATGGGGGACAGCGAGGGAGCGCGAACAATGATGGCAATAGGATAGAACTCGGCGAGGGAGCTCCAGTGGACACCACCGGGGCAGCCACCGTCGGCGCTGATAGCCCCGCCGCGTCAAGCTCATTGGGGACGTCGCAGGGGGAACAAGACGAGAGACAGAGAGAGCTGGGTGAAGGGATAGAGTGACATGTGGGCCCCACCTGTCAGTGGGTTGCACAATTTTTTTTTGAATGACAAATAGGCCCTACATATTTTTTTAAAATTCTAATGTCATGTAAGCACCACGTCAACGCCACGTGGGACGAATATCAGGTCAACACCGCCATGTAACGTGCCACATCAGCAAAACCGTCGAGAGAGTCAAATTACACCGGTTTTAACAGTTTAGGGGGGGGGGGGGTCAAGATATCTGGTTTTACGGTTCAGGGTCACGGATTAGATTCGGGACACTTTTAAGGAAGTCAGAGTGGTCTTATTCAAAATAATTTTCACGAGTGGGGCTCGAGCCCAAGCTGCCCTAGACCCAATTCCGCCCCTGCTTATTGAGTTATTATTGTGATACTTTATGAAAAACATATGCACTACAATCTACAATCTACAGAATAAGTATATATCCATGAACGCATGACCATCACGCCAAGAAAACTTAAGATAAGTTGAGGACTGGGTAAGTGAAAAAAAAAACAACAAATTTACAACAAAACATGTGTTTTCTTAAAAAAATGGAGAGCAAAAACCAAAAATGGTAAATATTATATAAGTTAATTTCAACTTTCAATTTCAAAAATAAAATGAATTTTGAAAACATGCAAATTTTTTAAAGAAAACTTAAGCATAAAGAAGATAAGTTGAGGACTGGGTAAATAAAAAAAAACAACTACTCAAATTTATGGAAGCCAAGAGTTTGAACCTTGAACGTGGAAGAAGCAGCAAAGCGGAGCCTCCACTAGGCTATACCCTCACATCTAAACAATAAAGTCTAGCTTTCTACTCCATCCGTCCCATAAAAAACCAATCTAATGCTGGACGTGACATATCCGTACTATAAATCTGAACGTATCTCTATCCAGATTCAGATTCATTGTATTAGATTATGTAATATCCAGTACCAGATTCGTTTAGGGAGTATAGTCACATATAAAAGTCAGCGCCATTAGATTTGATTATGTGGCAAAATCTGATGTTAGCGTTAATGCTGTAGCGCTGAAATATTTTTGGCGCTAAGCAGTCGGCTTATTTTTACAATTAATTTTTGATACGGTTATTATTGAAATAAATTTTTCAAAAGAGTCAAATTATCAAAATTGCAGCCAAAAATTTAATAAATTGACCATTTTAAATACTTATTTAAAAAATAATCCATACCAAAAACTAATGACAAAAATGAACCGTTAGCTGAACGCCAACATCTCAGTGCCACCTGGCTAAGTGGGTTGGAGGTAGCGCCAATGCGCGCTAACCCCTTATACACACTAATCAGTCAACAACGTATGGATCTACGCGCATATATGTATATGCCTATATGCTACCCGGGGCGGAGACAGGACTAGGGTTGGCTGCAGCCCTACTCCTGATCCTAAATATTCATTAAAATTCCATTTTAAAACTTCAAAACTAGAAGATAAAGATAAAATTATATACATTCAACTAATTGAGCCCTAGGTTTGAAAAAATTCTGGCTTCGCCACTATATGGTACTAATCACTCTATTACCCACCAAACTGAAAGAAAACATCGGCCAATGAACAAAATTAATGAAAAACAATGTTGCTATGTCAAGGATTCGAAACCCACATTATGTGCTGCATACAAGTCTAAGCATCACACCACCAAGCTACGTTCACATAACAAATTTGATGATACTTTTGTATTAATTACCTTGTACCCCAATCTACGTGGAATCATCTCCAAATATAGTGGCGCTGTGATGTTATAGCTTAGTATTATCGGGGTTGGCGCTGAATCGACGGTTTATTTTTGTCATTAATTTTTTATATGGGTTATTTTTCAAATAAGTTTTCTAAAAGGATAAATTTATCAAAATTTCGGCTGGAGGTGACTAATTTGTCTTCGACCCGACCTAGTCGGAGAGATTAAAGGGGACCGCGAAATGGAGCCACCACAGCGCTCCGGGGCTTTTTTGGCTGGCGTGTTCGCTTCCGGTGATATCCACGTCGCCCGGCGCTGGAGGTGGCGTTTTGCAAAAAAGTCCTCTATCTATATAATAATAGCTATTAGATCCCTCATTGTATGGCCAAGACCAGCGCGATTCTAAATATAGGGCCGCGGTCTAAGAAAAAAGAAAGTCATGGGTTTTTTCGAAAAAGAAAACATCCCTATCCCTTCCCTTCGCTGAAATCGGCGCTAGAGGTGGCGTTTTGCAAAAAAATCCTCTATCTATATAATAATAACTGTTAGATCCCTCATTGTATGGTCAAGACCAGCGCGAAGGAGGTAAGATTCTAAATATAGGGCCGTGCTCTGAAAAAAAAGAAAGCCATGGGTTTTTTTCGCAAAAATAAAACATCCCTATCCCCTCCCTTCGCCGAAATCCTAGCCGTCACTGTTCACCCTTCCTCGCTTCTCCTCGCCGCAATCGTCTTCCGCGGGTGGCATCGCTCACGCTGTCCCCCGCCCATCTCCGCCTTTCTTCCTCCGCCCATCCCCGCCGCCGTCACCCAGCCACCTTTTCCCTCCTTTCTTCCTCCATGATTACAGTCGACCAGGTGATTGGACGGTGCGGCGCCAAATCAATGGTGTGGGGGATCGATGTTCTGGTCTTGATTCCTTTTCTCTCTTATCTTCCCTCCTTTCTTGCTTATGGCATGCCAAATCGATGGTGTGGGGATCGATCGATGTTCTGGTCTCGATTTGCTGGTTCCCCTTCTGTTCAAGCTCGAGTCTTTGCCATCATGCGGCACCAAGCTCCGCCGTTCTGCGCCGCCAGCGCTGTTTGCCGATTACAGATATGATGATATTGGTTGGCTTCCCATATTCACTTTTGGTAAGTTAATCCACAGACAGTTCCTTCCTATGTTCTTCGCTTGCAAAGAATGGGCTGCCTACGAAAAAACAAATTTGTGATTCCTATGTTTTCCCCTGGTTGTGTTTGCATTTATCCGGAACAATGCTAATTCTGATTTGTGATGGTTAGATTTTGCTTTAGTTGTGTTTGTATATAGCCCGAACAAACAGATCCGAGGTGTTTGTTTCCCCAGTGTTTTCCCTGCCGAGACAACAGCTCTGCCATAGTTGCACAGATGCAAGTTCATTGCCTCTTTGGAATTTAGGTCAGGCTAAGCAGAATTAGGCCTGCTGGGATTTTTTTTGTTAGCCGACAACACCTCAGCCATAACTGCACGGATGCAAACTGTTAGATTACATGACCCCTTTAGAATTCAGGCCAGGCTAACCAGAACTAGGCCAACATAGAAAATTTTTCGTTGATATTTGGATTTTATTTAACACCCGCATGAGAATATGGAAAGTTCTCTACTTTTTTTAAGTTTGGGACTAGGTACCATGTCCTAGATATCGAATAAGAGATTACTCTGAAAAATTTTCTTCATAAACTGGTGTGAATGGGGGAGCATCAGTCATTGGATTATACCTGATAATTTAGATGTACGTTGTCTTCCTATGGCTTTTCATCTAATGTATATGATTTATTATTCAATGGAAAGGTACTGTTATACATGCAGATAGGTTGCCCCTTTCTTTGGAGGGTGGTAGGTACAGTCCTATTATAAATAACAAATGTGAATTCTTCTTTTATCTTATTCATGTAAAAAGGATTGGTTCCCTCCATGTATGGTGCTCATGTATGTCAGAGCTATATGCCATGTTTCTTGCTATCTAGCAACCTCCTTTTGAAATTTAGGCTAACAGGAGAAAGTAGGGCTGTCAGTTTTTTTGTTTAACGGCTTTTCCAACATATTCAGATGCAAAGACATTTCAGTGCCTTTTAAGAGATTACCAACAGACTGAGATGACTATTTCAAAGCAGGACATGCAACAGCGATGTTCACGCATGGAACAGCTTTTAGTAGGGAAATTTGAGGGTGTCTACCCTTTATACCTGAACAACATTATTTTCACAGCGAGTAGGTGTAAAAAGGGATTTGTAATATATGGACTTATGTCTGCCATTTCCGGTGTGTTGTCTGCACTAATCTGCATGTCGCATAAAACGCACGCACGCACCAGTTTCCAAGATTGCAATTTTGCAAGCAAATAGAATCAGAAACCTGGTGCACGCGAATTCTTAGAATCCCCAGAGCGCGATTGAAGGACATGTATCTGAAATATTAAAGAGAACCACAAAATTTGCTAAATTGTTGCATACACGTAGCCCTTCACATTTCTATGAGACCATATTGGACGGTTAATGTTTGAGAGAGTCTGGTTTAGAATAGGCATTGGATAAGGCTAGCTTCATAACGTGTTTTAAGAGGGCGATCAGGGCAAGGTTTAGGGCATGAATCAGAACATTTAAGAAACTACAGTACCGTACCTTACTTTTATCTGTAAAGTTGCTCTTTTTAATATTTAAATAATTGGCAGGTTGGAGACATCACCAGGTTTGTTGTGCTCTATATGGTCTGTGCTGTGCTCCCCTCTGTGCCTGGTTCGCTGTGGGGATGTGCGTGGGTGCCTGTCTACCAACGGAGCTGACGCTCGATGGCCCACCTGGTAGTCACTTTGGTCCATGGTGCGCCGGTGCTAGGTAGTTTCTTCCCTGCCTGACAGGCTTTCCTTTTGGTACACCGCCCACTTTTACTCAGGACAATGCACTGTCTCTCTGTGTGAGACACGTCTATTCGTGGTTCTCCTACCAACGTGGTGCACCATGGTCCCCCATCACACAGGTGCTTTCCTATATGCGTGTTCCGTGCGCTAGGAGCACGTTCACCTAACACCATTGAAAGTAGCTGAGAAATTATCCGCTGGTTAATACCACAAAAATCCTGATGCACATGCATCTATTCGTTGCAGTCAGCGACAGGTGGGGTCAATTTCGTGTGCTTCCCCACCTGCCATACACTATGCCCATCCGGGAGGTTATAGCTGTATGATGCCATGTTTTTTTGTGAGCGCCGCGCGCTACGCCACCGCGTGAGGCACCATCAAATCGACGTCCATACACACCGTACCGGCGTGCGCGCGAGCACCGATGCCCACGTCATGGTCTTAGCCTTTCCTTCTCCTCTTCATACCCGGTTCGTTAGTTCTGCTCGAGGCTGTTGCTGGTTCGGTTCGCTGGTGTGCTTTGCTCCCGTTTTGCCCCTTTTCGCTGTTGCGCACATGGCGAGCACCAGGTGATATGCTGCCCCATATGTCTTTCGTTCTCCCTGACTGCTATTCTGAATGTGTATGCGTGTGCAGGGGACATTGTGGATACTGCGTCGACACTTAGGATTTGCCCCGCTCATCTAGGTATATTGCCTAACTCAAGCTTTGTGCTTCCTTATTGTCCTGGATCTTGATTGTTGTTTTTGCCTTCCAGTGTACGACTTTAGCTCCTCGACGCCCTGTTCATTTCGCTCGAAGGTCTTGGTGGGGTTCGCGCTGTAGGCCAGGACGCTCGGCCGAGGTGACTCTGCCCATTGGCTTCTTCGCTAGCCCATGTCTGCACGCGTTCCTCGATCCTACGAGGTATATATCCCTCCTTCTACGGCTTTGATGTTCATTTGTTCTTCTGCGTTTCTTTCCATTGCGCTTGGCCTTTATTTCGTGATTTTATTGTGGTTGGTTTGTTCTGTGCCTGCTCTATAGTTACTGACAGTATAATATATGTTATATATGGAAAAATGTGTCTCAGTGCCTTACCAGGCACTGCATATGGGCCCATACAACCATACTAGCTGCAGCTGCTTGCCTCTTTCTGATCTTTCCTTTTCTCACTTCAGTGCTTTTGCATAGTACTGCCTGATAGTGCTAGAACTGCTGTGCGTCTCTACACGCCCTTTGAAATATTTCTCTGCGATTCGCAGTGTTAGCTCTTTCTCCAAGATGGCGGCTGTGGGAGTTTCCTTTGTTTCTTTGTTGAATGCCGTCGCATGGCATTGTCGCCTGCCATCCGTCTCATACCTCTGGGAGCTAGATGGGAACGATGCTCTGCCATCCGATGAGAGTCCCAGCAAAACCGTAAGCAAGTTCTTTTGGATCGCTACATCTGATCAGCCTATTGTTTCCCATGAAATGGTTGCACATCAGGCTGTTAGATTTCTGCAGGCCAAGTATGGGTTCGCAGTCCACGACTACAACCTGCAGACTTTGCTTTCATACCGTCAAATAGCTGCCTCTGCAGTCGATGCAGCTCTTACGGCCTCGACGCACCTTGCTAGGTTTCGGGCGCGCTATGGTCCCATGGATCTGTCATGTGAGTGTATTCTGCGACAGTGCATTGCTCTGTGGTCCAATTTTGTTAAGGAAGACCACTTCTTCTATAGCACATATAGGCCATAGAAGTAGCTACTGCACCAAACAATTGTGTTTTAGGATACGCGTTTCGTAAAACTATGTGTAATAGTACCTTTTCTTCAGCGTATCTGTTTCTAATGGATGAGTCGTTGTTTGGATTTGTATGTGCGTGCCCATTTATATATTAAATGCTCCATGGTTTCTTACTGATGATTCTGCAGTTTTGGTATTTGGTTTGTGCCTGCCCCCCTTCCTGTCGAGCAACTTACCCAGTTTAGGATTTTCCCTATACACGATGTCGGGTAGCTCTTCCCAGCGTGTACAGCGGGCACGGGAAAGTCGAACGCGCCGACGTGCTTCTATAGGCCAGGGTTCGTGCTTCTTTGCATTGCTTAAAATGCTACCTACGATTTTTTCGGTGGGCCTCACCCAAAAAATGGTTTTCCCTTTTTAGGATTCTTGCAGGCTCCTGTGTTCAGCAATGTTAGCCCTACAGCCCCTAGGCTCACCACTGTCCTCCCAGGTCTATCAGGTTCTATACCGAGTGTGCCGAAACCTGCTCTCAGCTTGCCTACTATCTCGGATGTGGGTGTTGAGTCTCAGACCGGGTCGATTGGCAGCACGTCGTGTCCTGTGCATGACTCACAACCCGCTCCTAGCAGTAAGTTTACAATAATCTACATTCTACACCATAGTTCTCTCCAATGATGCTTATGTTTAGCTTTCCATGCTGCCGTTGGGTCTAGGAAAAAGAACACTCTTAGATGTGCCACGGCATGCCGCTACAGCAAATAGAGAACGACGCCGTTTGAAGAGAGCAGGAGGTGACTCGGGTCATTTGCTGCAGAAAATTCTGGATGGTAAACCTGCTGCACAGCCATTTTTTCTTTCTTCTTTTTTCCCCTTGGTACAAGTGTGTTGTTTGATAGCCGTCATGGCTTAATGAGGTCTCCTTGCTGTACTTTCAACTACATAGGTCCAGTGCCTACTCTTGATGATGTCCTGCCCTTGCCTAAGGACTATATTGCATCATTGAAAGGTCTGTTCAATGCTGATTAGTTCTTTTGGTACTTTTAGCTCCATCTATCTCCTTGCTTCGCACCTAACAAATATGCAGCGTTGTGCCCTGAGCGATCCTACTATGGTGGACCGTCGCATGAATGCCCTTATTGTGGTGCTGCCTTTTGGTACCAAGAAAGGGTCAAAAGAGATAGCGCTGTTACACAAAGAAGGATAGTGTACAACTTATGTTGCAGGGCTGGTAAGATCAGCCTGCCTGAGCTAAGGTTTCCACCTGCTATGTTAGCGAACCTTTTGCGATTTGATGGCGATAGACGGTCAAGGCGTTTCCTACGCCAAATTCGATCATACAACTCTCTTTTTGCGTTTACTTCCTTAGGAGCTGATGTAGACAAGTCGATTAATAATGGAACTGCACCATGTGTTTTCAAAATCAATGGTATTGTTCACCACCGGATTGGCAGCCTGCTACCACAGCAGGGTGCCCCGCCAAAGTTTGCTCAACTCTACATATACGATACTGAAAATGAGGTCAGCAATAGGATGCGTGTATTCGATAAAGAGAGCTCCACTGATGAACCTGACCCATTTATTGTTACAGAGTTAGGTGCTATGCTTGATGAACACAACGACCTTGTCAAATCCTTCCGCTTTGCTAGGAAACGTTTAAAAGATCATGGCGATGAAAAAATTGCGCTTAGGCTCCTTGGGTGCAACTCAAAAGATGAAGTGCAGTATAACCTACCAACAAGTGGTGAAATAGCGGGGATAATTGTTGGCGATTATTCAAACGATAAATACACATACGATGTTGTTGTCCAGTCCTGTGATAGTAGGCTAAGACGAGTATCAGCTTTGCATCCATCCTATATGGCGCTGCAATACCCTTTGCTTTTCCCCTATGGGGAACGAGGGTTCCACTTAGGTATAAAATATACTGATTTCCCGAGCATAACTGGAACATCACGACGCTATGTGACAATGCTTGAGTACTATCGGTACCGCCTACACTATAGACTAAATAAACCAAACCCATATACGTGTTGCGGTCGTCTTAGTGATTCTATATGTGTAGATATGTACTCGACTGTTGAGGGCTCGAGACTGAAGTTCATTGCTGACAATCAACCTGATTTGCGATCAGAATGTGTGCAGGGAATTGCGGATGCAATTGACCATGGTCTTGAATCTGGTGATTCTGTGGGCCAGAAATATGTATTGCCTTCCAGTTTTACTGGAGGCCGTCGTTACATGGTCCAAAATTACCAAGATGCAATGGCTGTTTGTCGTGTATTTGGTTCCCCTGACCTTTTTGTTACTTTCACGTGCAATTCAAAATGGCAAGAGATATACGATGCCCTCCTATTTGAACCAGGCCAGGTACCGAGCGATCGTTCCGACATGATTGTGCGAGTATTTAACATGAAAGTTAATGAATTCATCACTGATATTAGGGAGGGAAAAACTTTTGGCCCAGTCCTTGCAGGTAGGGGTCATGACTATGGTGTTTTGCAGCTAGATAGGTGTATTGTGGACTGTTTCTAACACTTAAAATCATTATGTAGTGTTATACACAGTGGAGTTCCAAAAACGTGGCCTACCGCACATTCACTGCCTTGTGTGGCTTGCAGCAAACACCACTGATTTCAATGCTGCTACTGTCGATGGTTTCAGTTCTGCTGAGATTCCCGACGTATTTACTGACCCTTTAGGTTATGCTTTGGTTGATGAGTTTATGATACATGGTCCTTGCGGTGAGAAAAATAAATCATGTGTGTGTATGAAAAACAATCAGTGCTCTAAACATTTCCCTAAGTCTTTCCAGGACGAGACAATTATGGATGAGTTTGGCTTCACTGTATATATGCGCCGAAACAATGGACGATATGTTGTTAAAAATGGAATTAAACTTGACAATAGATGGGTTGTCCCATACAACATGAAACTTCTGAAAAAATACCAAGCCCACATTAATGTTGAATGGTGCAATAAATCGAACATGATAAAATATCTTTTCAAATATGTAACGAAGGGATCTGATAGAACTAAAGTATATTTTGAAACTACTGGTAACACAGCAAACAAGCCAACCGACAGTAATGCAGCACCACGAAATGAGATAGACGAATACATCAATGCTAGATTTCTATCCACTTGTGAATCAATCTGGCGTACTCTAGAGTTTGATATCCATTATAGGGTTCCTGCTGTTGAGCGTTTGGCTGTGCACCTTCCAAACATGAATTTTGTGCGATATCAGAAAGGAACTGACCTCAAAAAATTACTTGAAAGCCCTGCTGCGAAAAAAAACCATGTTGACAGAATGGTTTGAAGCTAATAAAAAACATTCTAAGGCACGACACCTCACATACTGTGATTTCCCGAAAGAATGGACCTGGGACAACAGCGCACGCTGCTGGCGTCCATTAACACCGGTTGAAAAAATCGGTAGAATGTACTATATCAGCCCAGTTGCTGGAGAACTATACTACCTACGGATGTTGCTGATGATAGTAAAGGGTGTGATGTGCTTTGCCGATATAAGGACCTACGAGGGTGTTGTTTACCCAACTTTTAGACAAGCATGCGAGGCAAGAGGGCTTCTTGAGAACGATAACGAGTGGCACTTGCTCTTTGATGAGGCTATTGTGTCTGCGTCCTCCTACCAACTAAGGCAGCTGTTTGTAACCGTGGTAATGTTTTGTTCTATTGGAAATGTGCGATCTCTTTTCGATAAATATTGGACATACTTTACAGATGATATACAACACCGCGTTAGAAAAATGTTGTCAAACCCTTCTTATGTTATCCCCCATGACAGGCTTCTATCTCTTTTGATTAAAGAATTAAAATCTGTTTTTGCAAATAGCGGCGGTAATATAGACGATTACGACCTGCCACAGTCAACAGCACGCACAGATGACGATTCTGGGAATAGGATGGTCAGTGAAGAGTTAGCTCTTGATAGTGTTGCTCTTGCTGCCCATGCTGATTCCATCATACCGAAACTAAACTCGGACCAAAAAAGGGTATTTGACACAATAATGTGCCGTGTTAATGAATCGAAACCTGGTTTTTTCTTCGTTTATGGTCATGGTGGAACTGGTAAAACATTTTTATGTAATGCACTGATTTCTAAAGTAAGGTCCGAGAAAAAAATTGTCCTCGCAGTTGCTTCATCTGGGGTTGCTTCTCTCCTCTTGCCAAGAGGACGCACTGCCCATTCTAGGTTTAAAATCCCGATTGATATAAACGAAAATAGTTTATGCACTATCAAAAGAGGGACCATGCTTGCTGAACTTATTCAAAAAACATCACTAATCATATGGGATGAAGCTCCAATGACTCATAGGCGGTGCTTTGAGGCTCTAGATCGAACTTTACGAGACTTGCTTTCCGAACACGCTCCTTCCAACGGTTTGGTGCCCTTTGGTGGAAAGGTTGTTGTCCTAGGTGGCGATTTTAGGCAGATATTACCAGTTGTAAGGAAAGGCTCCCGTGCTTCTATAATCGATGCATCTATAACGAATTCTCCGCTTTGGAGTCATGCTGTTCTTCTAAAACTTACTGTCAATATGAGGCTCCTACAGTGTAATCTTGGTGAACAACAGCAGCAGGAGCTAGAAAAGTTTGCTCAGTGGGTCTTGGCGCTTGGTGATGGCAAGTTTCCTATGTAAAAAAGGAACGATGAATCTGAAGCAACCTGGATTGACATCCCTGATGATTTGTTGATAAAAACAACTGGTGATAAAATACATTCTATAGTAAACGAAGTATTCCCAGGTTTTGCATCTAAGTATACAGACCCTTCTTACCTAGCATCGTGTGCTATTGTATGCCCGAATAACTCAACTGTTGACGACATAAATGACCGAATGGTTGATATGGTACCTGGTGAGGTGAAGGAATACCTTAGTTGCGACACTATTTCAAAATCGTCTGAGCACATACCAGATTTTGATCTTCTGTACCCAACCGAATTCTTAAATTCAATTAGCGCCAACAATTTCCCAGCACATAAACTTGCGCTAAAAAAGGGTGTCACAGTGATGTTGCTACGAAACCTAAATCAATCAATGGGTTTATGCAATGGAACCAGGTTGTTAGCCCTTTCTCTTGGGCAACGACTCTTAGAATGTCAGATCTTGACTGGAACAAACATTGGAGATAGGGTGTTCATACCAAGAATAGCGCTTACAACTACGAGCCCTAAATGGCCTTTCACTCTTCAGAGGAGGCAATTCCCTGTGCGTGTATGCTATGCAATGACAATCAACAAAAGCCAGGGCCAAACCCTTAAAAGGGTTGGCGTATACCTTAAAAAAGCTGTCTTCACGCATGGACAGTTGTATGTTGCGGTGTCTAGATCGACTTCAAGAGACGGCCTTAGGATTCTTACTGAGGGTGATGATGAGGCATGTAGTTCCAAGACTAGAAATGTGGTGTACCATGAGGTGCTGCAAACAGTGGATCTGATGGTACATCATGTATTGCCCGATCTTATAGCTGTTACCCATGAATATCTTAAGTTCCAACAATCTAACACGCTGCTACGATTCTGTTCCGTAGGATGCTGATACCTAGCTGAAACTCGAGACTCCGATGCTTGCTGTTGTTTGATGTTCTGTCTGATTGTTTTCTTCATTTCTTCGTATCTTATTCACTGTGCCGCTATTGTTTTCATTTTGGGTCACGTTTTTTGTAAGTTTTCCTTGCTGTTTTGCTTTCGGTTTTTTTAAAACTACAGCAAACTGGCTACTGACAAATTCTTTGTTAATTTCCTTGCAGATGGGACACACCCTGCTCTCTGATCTCTCCCTTGGTGACGACAATGAGCGCATTTGTGTTCGGGTTTCGCGATTTTGGGCTTTCTGTGACCAAAAGGATGATGACAAGATTCTTCACTTTGGCTTGGTCCTGATTGATGAGAAGGTCAGATCTGTGCAACGATTACCTTGATTTGTTTAGTTCACACAAGGTGTTTTCTGACTTTGTTATTGCCACAGGGGACTAGCATTGCTGCTCAGATTTATCCCCCATGTGATGAGATATTCAGGCCAATCATCACTGAAGGCAAGGTGTACTACATTAAGTACTTCCGTGTGAGGAAGTGTAACAGGCAGTACAAACCAGTCGACAACTGCATGTCCATCTATTTCACAAGGTGGACTAAACTAGAGGAGCGTGTCGATCCACCAGCTGAGATTCCTTTGTATACTTACTCACTCTCACCATTTGGCGGTCTTCGCTCACGTGTCGGCAAGAAAGACTCATTCACAGGTAGTCTCACTTTACTGTTGCTAATGCATGCATAGTACTTCATGTTATGTTAATTGGCAAATGGCTGATATTGTTCCCTTTATTTGTCAAAATCAAAAAGATATCATTGGAATTATTACTCAGCTGTCGCCCGTGACTCCGCTTCAAGGCACCGTAAAGAGGAGTGTCTTCATCCGCAACACTGAGTTAGCCCCAACTCTTGCATACTAAAATAAAATAGATTCATCAGGACTAACTTAATCTTGATTTGTTTATATGGTTCCCTTTTATCTGAGCTAACCAATTACCAAAAGAGATACAACTTTCCCCTTATCTTCACAGAGATTCTTAATACAACCATCATACCTCTAACACAGCCAAAAGATACGCCAGATACATCTGGCCACCTGCATTTTGGTTTTCATGCATCTGTTACTGCCTATTTCCTATAGCAATGCAATCTTGAATGTGGCGCTTTGGGGGGAACGTGCAACAAGCTTTCCTGTCGATGAGGTGTTTGTTGCTGGTCAGAAAGAACCACAGATAGTAATCTTCGTTGGCACCCTTGTGAAGGGCTATGGTAATGAATATTCCAAATACTCAACCATGTTTCTACATCGTAGTTCCAATGGTTCCATGCTTAATAGAATATATGTTCTCTAGGCGATGTCTCTTTATCAGGTAACTCAGCCTGCAAGTGATACATTAACGCAGACACACCTGAGGTCATCTCTCTGAGAAACAGGTCTGTACTAAGGTTTCTATACAAAGTGCATATCGTTTTCTTAAATGTAGCTTGGCTTATATATACATACTAACACTGTCGTTATGTGTACAGCATCCAAGCAACCTATAGTCCTATAGAGTGGACTGATCTACCTCCTGCAGCACCTGCTTATAGCAATGCTGAGCCCAAGACGATTATCCAAATTAAGGATCTGAATCCTTTCGAATTCAAGGTACATTGTGTGATTTATACACTTTTGCTATCCAAATTCCCTAGAATGAGCTATAACCATTGTTTCATACCTCTTTTGTGCAGAAACATGAATTCTTGGTTACTGTTGTCATCAAGAAAATAGACATGGAGTACTCTTGGTGGTACACTGCATGTGATATATGCAGGAGAACAGCAAGGCCATATGGAAACACATACAAGTGCCAGAATGAGTCATGCCCTCCTCTTGTGGGAGCATCACCTAGGTCAGTAACATTGCTTTCCGGAACCACACTTATGTCAAACCAAAGAAGATAAGCCAGTTCTAACATTACTCTATGTTTGCAGGTTCAAGCTTAGCGTTGTGGCAGGTGATGACACAGCTGACGCTAAGTTCGTGCTCTTTGGCCGCCTAGCACAGCGTCTTATTGGTCGATCAGTGGAGATTCTGTTAGAGGGCAACGCTGCCGGCAAGGAGGCCATACCCAAGGAGATCACAAATTTGCTTGAGGAAAATTTCACCTGGAAAGTTGCTATTACCGAGAATACCATGTCTTCAGGCAATGTCTCATTCCAAGTGAATATGATTGTCGGAAACGGCAACAGCCAGAATCCTGCCATCCCACAATCTCCATCTGCATCTCAGGCATCCTCCATGGTACCTTCTCTAGCTCTATCACCAAGTGTAACACATGAACTCTCTGTTGGCCAGTCCACAGCAGCATTTGCTCCATCCATTGGATTCAGTGATCCGCCTGCCACTCCATCGGCTGGATTAAACAGTCCGTTGGTTGTTGGAGCCAAGGACAAAAATGATGATGTTGAATGCCAGTCCAAGACTCCAGTTCAGGTCCTTGACGAAGAAGATGAGGTTAGCCTGCTTAGCAAGCGTACCCAACCTTTTATTCCTGAGTCTTTCTGTGCTAAAACTTTCCTCGCTAATGATTTAGCTGATCCTATAGGATGATGACAATTTGCCCCTTTCCCAAATGGGTGGTCATTCTGCTACTAAGAAAACCACATCCAAGTCCCACAACAAAAGGTTACAGCTCTTCTCAGTCTTCCATGCTTTTAGTTAAAGTAGCCTAGCTTTGCTCTGTTTAGCTAACTATGGTTGCAAAACAGGGCAAGGCCATCTCCTGGCACTGGCACAGCTAAGAAGTTGTTCAAAGAAAGTGGTGACGATACCGCTGATGGCAGGTACTACAGATTCAGAGTGATTAGCATTGGCATTTGTTTTCTTATATGCAAAATGACAACTGATTGTTGCTAGATTATATAATTGACAAATTTTCATCTGCAATTCAGCGGCGAGAACAAGGCCTGATGCAGCAAAGGAATGTGTACGCTTTTGTTTTGCACAGTTGTATCAGACTCGGCATCGGTCTCATGCTCTGCTTGCATGGGTACCTTAACCAAGCTTCTTTAGAACCACTCTACAGTGTTTCGTTGGTTAATATTGTGCCATGCATTTACAAACTGTGCTATTTTGTCGCTCGCTATAGACCTTTGAGCATGGTTGTAGCTAGACGCTTCCTTTTGTAAAGACTTAACAGCGACCCTACGCATTATGTGGCTAGGATTCTATGTTATCATGCATAGCACATGATAAACACGAATGCTTGCTGCTGTACCCAGTATGATGTTACTTACGCAATAGTAGCTCTGTGTTTCGGGATACATATATATTCCAGCTCAGTGTGTATTTCGACTGTTGCTTGCTTTTAGCCTATTTCTACCTTCGATTCACAACCTGCGAGTATTGATTCGGTACGCATCGAGCAACTATTCACATACACTCTCACCGCATTCTATCCCAATCCAACAGCACACTGTGCAAGAATGCTCATGAGAAGGCATGTATCTAACTCCCAACCACCAGCCGTCCAGTCTAGGTGTGCCGCCCCATGCCACCTTGCCAGCACGTTTGCATGCAAGAAAAGGCTACACACCTACCTATTCCCTTCGAATAGACAGCACAGGGTGCTAGCACGGTACATCCTACACTTTCTCTTTATCCTCTTCCATGGTTAGCTTCTTTGCCTGCAGGACACACTGTTGCTGGGTAGAGCCCAAACATCGAACAAGAGCTGCGCTCTGAAGAAGCCTTTCAAGGGGAGAAAACAACCGCCGCTTCGTTCAGGTATTAGGCTCTGTTCTTTTGGTTGAGTTGGGAACCCATCCCTCCGGTACGAAAAACGAAGCAGTCCATTAGCACATAATTAATTAATTATTTGCTAATTTTTTTTCAAAAATGGATCAATATAATTTTTTTTAAGCAACTTTCGTATATAAACTTTTTGTAAAAAACACACCGTTTAGCAGTTTGAAAAGCGTGCGCGCGGAAAATGAGATGGGGGAGTTGGGAACTCCAGGAAACGAACAGAGCCTTAATCAACTTCGGAAACTCTTCTTCATGTGGCTTTATATGCATCAGTGCTATACATACTATGTTTAAAAAAACAAAGCGACAACAAACAGATTGGTTAAAACACCATTCATTTCCTCGCTGTTTATTTGCTATCTCACATTGTGAAATCTTTGCTGCCTATTGATTTCTGGATGGCTAGATCAAGGTTCAACGCTCTTTCCTGGGAAAAGGAGCAGCTGAGGATGGAGTTTGGCTATGGTGGTGAGCTCAGCGTAGCACAACCTCGGCGGCCTTCTTCCTACGGAACACAGCGACCATTGGTTGAGACAAAGTTCTCAGGGTGTGGAGAGATATCGCAGCTGCTTGCTGATGTCATCTATCAGCAGGGTGTTGTTGTGAAAGTCCTTGGAGCTGGTGATCCAAACAGCACAAGGATATCTGCTATGGTAAGTGCTGTGTGCAGGTGTGAAATTGATGATTTTGCTCTGCTACCCTTTCGTCCAAAGATGTATATTGTTCTATTCATGGATGCTGACAAGCAACAAGAAAGGGCTGAAATGGCCTGCAAAAAAAAAAATTCACGTTCAAGACAACTCGCCTCGAGTTTGAGCCTTTCAAGATGAATCTTCATAGTGTTACAAACCCACTGCGTCAAAGGGTTATACTTGCCCTTGAAGGAGTGCCGCCGGAATCATGGAATAAGCAGGCCATAACAGAGCTAATGGACAACAGTTGCATGGTTGAAGAGTTGTATGGAGAGCACCATATACATGACCTTTCTGTTTTCAAGCTAGCTGCCTGGACCACCGACTGTGACCTTATACCCAAGGCGATTAGATGGAACATTGAGACCAAACAGGGAGCACGAGCATCAGCCAATGTTAGCTGGAACCACAACGCAGCTCACTCTCTGATTCTGGTACACATGGAAAAACTATTCGACTACACCGACGAAGACAGTGGCAGTGATAGCGATGGTGAACTTCTTAGACAATATGAGCAGCAAAGGCCTTGCCTACCTGTTGTCAAGACATTTACCTGGGTATCCTGTCAAATTGACCTAGACAATGGACCAATTGAAGGTGGTCCACCGGCAATCCTCCCACGTCGTCTTCCTCTCGAATTTCGCAGGCATGGCCGTCAGTAGTCTTCCGCATGATTCCTTGCCTATTTATCTATGTTAGTTGTGATGCTTCCATGTATGCTGTTATAACATGATCTAAATTATGTATTGTCCTTCGCGAACAGTGTTCACATCCATTTCATGTATTTTTTTCCTGCTTAATCCATTATAGTTACTAATCACAAACTGAATGGTCTGAATGACAATGCTATAGCCAATGAAATGAGTAGGCTCTTCAGGTCTTTCTAATGCTTTCACAGATTCTTCTTATCAACTTCCTCCTTTTAAAGCACCGGTAGGGCGCCGCGAAGCGCGCCGCAAGTTCTAGTAGTAGTTAGCGTATACGACTAATACCATTACCATACATGGACAGATGGACTCCGAATCCGGCTTAACTGCAGTCGCGCGTACATATACAAGGCGGCAGAAGGAAACAATCGAATCGATCGAGTTAGGATTGACCGATGGCGTCCTCATCGGCGGCGGCGCCGCCGCTGGCGGAGGAGGACATGAAGCTGATGCGCATAGGGAGGACGATCTTCCGATCCCAGGATTTCTCCGGGACGTGCCGGAGGGACTCCTACTGCATCCGGTGCGGCGTCGCCTTCTGCTCCCACTGCTGCCGCTACCACCACCGCCACGCCGCCGTCTCGCGCTGGTACGACCCGCTGCTCCGCGTCGACCTCCACGGCGGCGGCCGGCCGGTGCTCCCCACGCGGACGGCGGACGGGCGGCACGCGCTCCCGCGCGGGGTCGCCGCATGCATGGCCGCCCAGGACTACACGTCCCGGCTGCCCCGGGACGCCTTCTGCCTCCCCTGCGGCGCCTCGTTCCGCGCCGACCTCTGCCCCCACCACGGCGCGCACGCCGACGCGGCCACCGGCGAGCCCCTCGCCGACGCCGTGCTGCGCGGCATCGAGGAGCACGGCGGCGGCGGCCGGCACTGCGTGCGCTGCACGGGGTCCGAGTGGTGGGCGGACCTCATGGGCGTCGTGCTCGGCGACCCCGTGCTGACCGGCGTCGACGAGGAGGGGGCGTACTACGAGCTGCTCCCGGTGCTGAAGGCGACGGAGAGCAAGTGCCTCCGCTGCGGCGACGACATGGAGGGGAAACTCCGGATTGGGTTCTACTGCTCGCTCGACTGCTTCCGGGAGGACCAGCGGACCATCGAGGAGAGGAGGCAGCGGAGGGTGGCAATGCATGCCGCGCGCCACTCCGGCAACAACTGAAGCTTTGAGCTAGACGATCTATGACCTAGCTGGTACCCTTTCTCGCTCGCAAATTAACCTGTATATAGCTTCTCTCTCTTTTATTTCACTGTATATTTTTTTTCTTTTAAGGGGTTACTTTTATGCCACTTGTGACCTAGCTAGCTAGTCGATCGGCCCGGTGCGCAACCTTAGAATGCCTTATTACTCCATATGCTTTTGATTTTTTGATCAACGACGTTTGATATTTTGTCATAGTCAAAATTTTTAAGGATGATGCCTACGGATTGTTTAGATCTAGGGGTGTAAAGTTTTGACGTGTCGTATGGGGTGTTCGAGCACTATAAAAAAATGATTCAGGGGTGTAAAGTTTTGACGTATCACATCGGGTATTATTCAGAGTGTCGCATATGGTGTTCGAGCACTATAAAAAAACTAATTACAGTAAACTGTCAAACGAATTTATTAAGTCTAATTAGTCCGTCATTAGCAAATGTTTACTATAGCACCACATTGACAAATCATGGAGCAATTAGGTTTAAAAGATTCGTCTAGTAAATCAGTCACAATCTGTGTAATTAGTTATTTTTTTAGTCTATATTTAATACTTTATACATATGTTAAAATGTTCGATGTGACATGGTGAAAATTTTTGGGGAACGGAGATAAGATAATCACCATCACCATTGATGTGATGACAAGCTCAGGTTGAACAAGAGTGGCGAATTTTCCTAAGACAGCCTGAAAAAACCCTATAAAACCTATATACTGTCAGATTAGAATATAAATCATCGCGCCGGTTGACGCTTCTGCTGATTAGCCTATATGTCCTACTAATATTTCAATTTCTCTTTTATGATTTTTATTATCATGTTGCCTAGATTTGTCATAAGACTCCAAATATGAATCCAACACTGGTATTGTCTCATAAGACTCCAGATATGGATCCAACACACTAGTATTGTCAGACATGGATCCAACACTAGTATTGTTTGTTTTATTGTAACGTTTTCTAAAAGTAGAAAAATCTACATATTATTTATTTTATAATATAAGCAGAAAATACATATATTTAGAAAATGGTTATCACGAATTTATTAAGCCTAATTAGTCTATCATTAGCAAATGTTTACTATAGCACCACATTGTCAAATCATGAAGCAATTAGGCTTAAAAGATTTGTCTCGCAAATTAATCACAATCTGTGCAATTAGTTATTTTTAGCATATATTTAATATTTTATACATATGTTAAAATGTTCGATGTGACAGGGTGAAAATTTTTGGGGTGTATCTAAACATGGCTTTCATCTTCTCCCCAACGATCATTACCAGATAAGATAATCACCATCACCAATGATGACAGTGCAGGTTGAGCAAAACATTAACAGTGGCGAATTTTCCTAAACAGACTTTATTTTCCTCTAATCTTTTCCCAATTCATTAGCATCCTACGATCAACACAGAACATGTTTGCTGACTTTTTTATTTTTCTTTCCCCCTCTTTTATGTGTTTGCACTGGTTCGATCACGCACGGTTGGATTGTGGTGCCGCGTGGCCCAGCTACGCACATGAAGTGGCTTTTCTTCTATTTCTTTTTTTTCAATTCACCTCTTCTATTTCTTTGTTTTTTTGAATTCACCATCCTAACTTGCGTGCTTGCCAGTTTTATAGAGAGGGTTTCTTACTCGGCGTTCTTTCTGCTACTTGTATCTCGCCATCCTAATTTGCGTGCTTGCCAATCGCCATCCTAATTTGCGTGCTTGCCAGTTTTATAGAGAGGGTTTCTTACTCGACGCTCTTTCTGCCACTTGTATCTCGCCACATGCAGCTCAACTAAAGGATGGTGAGGGCAACCAATCAGCTAGCATGAAACCAACCAGCATTAGATTTCACCATCGTACTTGCCAGTTTTATAGAGAGGTTTTCTTACTTAGCGCTATTGTTTTTTTGAATTCACCATCGTACTTGCCAGTTTTATAGAGAGGTTTTCTTACTCGGCGCTCTTTCTGCCACTTGTATCTCGCAACGTGTCGCTCAACTAAAGGACGGTGAGAGCAACCAATCAGCTAGTATGAAACAGTGAGGCCAACTAATGAGCTAACATGAAACCAACCAGCATTAGATAGATAGATAGATAGATCATTAGATAGATAGATAGATTGTAAAGGCGAAAAATATTTTGGGAAGCCTCTGGAATCTGGATGATGTGCCTTTTGTTTGCTTTCTCGGTATTTATTTTCTTATGGATATTCTCTAGATTTATCTCAAAGAGGATAGATAGTTGTGAAGTCTCTAGAATTTGTATTTGTCCTTTTCTTTTCTTTTGGCTATTTCTTATGTTTAATTTTCTTAAATTTATCTCAAAATTTAACATTGCCATATGGCTCAATAAGATGGCTCGAAACACAAGCTAGTTTTGGAAAGATAGAAACTCAGCATGTCTTTTGACGCACTTATGCTATAGCCTGTCCACAATGTTTCTGTAATTAGGAAGTAGAAATTTTGAAAATTGTTATAGAATAATTTTCTTTTGTTAAATTTTGAAAATCTTTTAAGTTTTCTCTCCTTTTTATCTGAACTATTTAGGGTTCCTTTGTAGAGTAAAATTATAATTGTATTGTCTATTAATTGACAAAATAGGTGACAATACTTTTAAAGGCATTTGTTTGCAAATGTATAGAATTTTTTTATGAGCTAAAGAATTTAATATAAGTATCTATGTCCGAAAAAATATACTTGTTGATAAAAATTATAGTCTAACCGGGCTCCACTGATCTATACCTAATATTTTGTTTCTTAGTAAAATTCTTTTTAAGCCCCATCAATCCTTCTAGATTATTCTCCACTTCTCCTTTGCATTTTATCTTCTCTCTGTGTGTAAGCTACAGCATCTAGTTCTATTTTTTTTCTTAGTCCTGTTTGATTATCTTTTTGCCCATGGATGCTTATTTCCTTTTTCTTTCGAGCCATGTAGGACTCTGGAGATGGTTCAGCACCTCAGCACCGTTACCATGTTTTTACGCTTATTTTTTTCTCTCATATAATTTCAAGATTTATTTGCAATGTGAAAGGTGCCACGTGACTTAATCATCGTTTGCATGCACAGCCAGCATTAGAAGATAAGATTATACCCCGTACAGATGTACAATAATTACCAGCGATCAACATTTACTGCTAAATAGATATTGCATATGGGCCATCTATATAGCGCCTTTATATGGGCCGAGCAAGTGACCTAGTAGGCCTCACGTTAGTGAGACTCCGAAGGAAAAAGTACACCGGAGGTTCCTCAACTTGTCATCGAGATACAAAATTGTCCCCCAACCGTAAAACATATTTGACGTCCCTTAACTGATCAAATCTGGTTACAATAAGTCCTTCGGTGGTTTTGACCTCGATTTTATCTTACATAGCGCATGAGTCAGCGTGGAACCCACGTGTCGCTCACATGTGAGCCTCTTATTCCCCTTCACTCTCCATGTCTCTTTCTCTTGTGTCTCCTCGACAGGAGCTAGGCAAGGCAGGCTGGTGCGGTGGGCGGCGGCGGCATCGTCACCGCGCTCGATCTCGACCAAGCGTCAACGCGTAAGGAAGAGCGGCGGCAGCAACCAAGTCTGCATTCGCCTTCCTCCCGACGGCGGGGAGCGGCTGAACCACGGGATGGTCATCGTCACGCCCCTTTTTCCACCACGACACCATCACCCCCACCTCGCCGGCGACGACAACGACGAACTCCCTCCACCCTTCCCCTTCCCCTTCTGCCATCTCCCTCCTTCGCCTCTCCCCACCTCCGCCGGGCTGCCGCCGTGCTTCCCCACCGCCGGCCGTCGCGACGCCGTCCTCCTCTTCTCCCGCCTCGCCCCATTGACGTCTGCGCCTCCCCGTCGACGCCCGACAGCTCGGTGCGGGGGAGGTCTTGGCGGTCGACGTCGAGGCCGCGGAGGGACTTGATATGGGAGCGTGGTCGACGGAAGCGCCGCTCTCCTCGAAGGCGGCTGCGCCGCCGCTGGAGTACGAGATGCCGTCGATGACGTGGGGTGTTGTGATCTAGGGGGGAAGGAGCAGCTCGTCTCCCGCGTGCTCGCGCTTGACTTCCTCCGACCCTGCCGGCGAGCTCAAGGCCGTCGAGCTCCCCTCCTCCCTCGTGGTGCTCCAGGAGTAGCTCGACTTAGTCCTCGCCTCGGCCTTTCCACCGACGGCCTCTCCTCCCCGCCTGCTCCCTCCGTAAGAACGCCTCAAGTTCCTCCGCGGCCTCGACGTTGACCGGACCTCCCCCGCGCCAGGCTGCCGCCAAGCTTCCCCATCTTTGGCCGGCTCCTCCTCTCCTGCCTAGCCCCGGTGGCCTCCTTCCCAACCACCGGCCGGCTTGCAGAAGAGTGAGAGAGAGAGAGGAGGAAAGGAGAGGGATAACGTGGCATCCTGACATGTGGGCTCCAGGTGGGTTCCATGCTAACTTAGCCACGTAGGATAAAACCGGGATCAAAACCATCGAATAAATTATTATGATCGGTTTTGATTAGTTAAAGAGACACCGTATATGGTTTTGTGGTTAGGGACCGATTTTATAAATCGATGATAAGTTGAGGGACCTTGGTGTACTATTTCGTCCTCCGAAACACCGCCCATTTTGTTAGGTTGACCACTTATTATGTGGGACCCACGTTACTCGGATTGACTGCTTTCACCTCAGCACACTGGGCCCTACCGCGCACAGAGCAGTGAGTGACCCAACAGAAGAAAACCACGCGATGATGCCACGTTGCCACGCACCCAGCTGGTCAGTCCTATCCGAAACCTGATTCCCACCCAAACCCCTAGCTAATCCCATCCCCACCACCACCACCACCACCACCACCACCATGGCCGCCGACGAGCTCGCCGCCGCCTCCCACTCCTCCTCCTCCCCCGCCGACGAGGACGACGAAGAGGGCACCGACAGCGACGGCTCCAACCCCGACCACGCCGCCGCCCCCCACGCCCCTCCGGAGCCCACCGCCGCGATTCCGCCTCCGCCGCCGCCGCAGCCGCAGCCTGGGGCGGGGGCGGAGGACTCGAGGCGGCTGTTCCAGCGGCTCTGGACGGACGAGGAGGAGCTCCTCATCCTGCGCGGGTTCCTCGATGTCGAAACATGAATTCGGCAATAATAAAAGGGGGTAGCGCACGAGACCTAAAAGTGGATGGATGCGAAGACAAAGGATTTAGACAGGTTCAGGCCCTCTCAATGAGAGGTAATACCCTACTCCTGTTAGGGGATTTGAATCCGCCGAGTGTGTATTGATCTGACGATCAGGTTGTGTCATGCCCCCTAGAGGGCCTCCTGCCCACCTTATATAGGATGGGGGGCAGGATTACAAGATAGAAACCTTAACCAATACGGTATCGGTTTCCTAAATCAGGACTTTAGGCCGTTCCGTAATATACAAGGAAACGTAACACCCAAGTCATGATCTGTTACATATTACATAGATATAAGTTATCCCCTATAACTAGTCGGATAACCATGCCGTGTGGGTATGGGGTACCCATAATCTCCACAGTAGCCCCTGAGACCTTCGCAGTCGAAAAGATAATCTTCTCTCGAACCAGATTACTCCAAAGCCGAGTGCTTCAATCATCTTTGTCATGGTCTCCCGAGTACTTTTACCAAATCTGAAGACTGTGGAGGGCTGAAAAATAAAGTCAGGTGCACCGACTAGATGCACCTAATAGGTGTAGCCCCCGACAATGTGGTTAATTGAACAAACCAAGCATATAGTCAAGGAATAAATAATCCAACCAACCGAGTGGTTTTGATAATCGTAATCAACCAAGTGACTTGATATCAATATATAGCATATGCGGTGTGAATCCTCCAAATAACATGATCCGGGTGATATACCAACTGCTTTGTAAAATATGATGAGTGATATAGCAAAATAGCTATAAAGAAGCTTGAATGCTGTGAATAAAGAAATTTCCAAAGTATTGGGCATACGCCATGCGCACACTGCTTTAACAGATGTGCTTAAGTCCCTAAAAGACACATGGTTTCACCACACCTGGAAATATATGGCATATGTGGTATAACATCCGAGTAAGTAAACTCATAAAGGATTTACCAACCGCCTGAAAAATGACCATAATATATAATCAGCCTAAGCCATAATATTGGTCAATAAAAATGCACACTTACGTGGCAAAAAGCAATGATATTGTATCCAATCAATTGCTTAAAAACCCAAACAGCACCATGACTATAAAAAAGTCAGCGGGCCAGCTATATAAAGCTTTACTGTTTGACACCTTTTAAGATGCATTGTACCAACTCCTAAAAAGTTAAGTAACTGCGGTATAAAAGGATTTTAAGGTATTGGGCACTTGATCACGCGCACTTTGGCCTAAGCAAAAAGTGCCTAAGTCCCTAAAAGAACGTGACAGGCCACACCTGAAAATATGGGCTGCAGACATATTAGGCCTAGGCCAAAACATATGCCTTCGACACCCTTTAAAGGATGACGCATATAACATGCTCCCGAGTAATAAATCTTCCGGGTAATATAGACCAAGCGTAGCTCATATGAATAGCTTCTGATCTGAGTGGTTATCCCTTATGGGATACTCCAAAATAGATGTAACAATTGAATCCCGACTGGCGCAAGTATTCAATTGATAACCCTTACGGGGAATAATAAATAGTCCAGTCTTTGAGCATATAAAATAGACCCATGATCATGAATTCATGTTGCATGTATCCGGAGCAAGTCCAAATTGAAGATATAATACTTGTATTTGAGCTAGTAAGCCCCTGAGCACGTAGTCACAATTGTTCATTGATGGTAGCTGACGCAGTTGGCATAGAGACAAGACAACCAATATAGAGAGAATATTGCCCACCAGAGGTGGCAAAAATATTGGTGGTAGTGAAGATAGTGATACCAATCAAAAGTAATGAAGTCGCATAGCCATGGAGGCGAAGAAACCAGTCGGCGGCAGACAGATCAACTAACAATGAAGATGAAGGAGCCCAGCGATAAAGTTGTGTAGCCATGGCAGCAAAATAATCAGTCGGTGACAGACGAGGTAGATCAAAGGTGATGACAAAATCCACCAATCATGAAGATGAAGAAAATAGTTGACGACGACAAACGCAACCGACATGATGAAGATGACGATGTCGGTGATCCAGCCAATAGCAGTGTAGCAACCAATGATAATGACAAAGACGCTCATCAGCATTTGCATAGTAGGTCAACCGTGAAGGTGAAATAATAAGTCGGCGAAAACATAATCATCCATTAGCAACAGCGGAGATGTCAGGGTCGATGAAGCAGAGGTGCTGGTGATGATGTCAGTGATAATAATCCATCAAATTAATGTTATAGCTGTTGTAGATGCTTTACTTGGAGGAGAGTTGATATTGTTGCCCAACTCGTCTAAACCGAAATATTTGAAGTTGTTGAAGTAGAATGTCTGCTCCGAAGCAAAGATGAAGATAATGACTCCTGGAGTTGACTCGTGGGTTGATGAATTGATTTCTTCAGCTTGACATAAAATTTGTCAAATTTTGAGCCTTGTATTTGTGTAGCCCCCGACTCTTTGATTAGTTGGGAAACAACTAAACATAGAGTCGAGAACTGTAGCTTCTTGTCATCTAATAGTCATTGCTTGATTGAAGATATGTGTTGAAGATGTCCAAGTAGAAATCCTGAATATTGGAGAGCCACTTGTTGTAGTAAAATAACACGGCATCGCATGCCGAGATGTCGAGGTTCACAAAGACGTCGTGGTTGGTGAAGTAGCAAAACTTGCGAAGTAGCAGCAATAGAGTTTGCCAGTGCCGAAGATAATAAAGATGAAGTCGCTCCACCATGATGACAAAGTTGTATTGCCGTAATGAAGTGAACACAAGTCGGCGGCAACAGAAGCAAACCGGTAGTGAAGACGCGCAGTTGTGAAGATAAAAGCACCAGTCGGCGGCGGCATAATCAGTCGGCGACGGAAGACGATGATGTCCATCAGTAGTGGTAGCTGTATAAACCAGACGTAGAGGTGAGGGCACTAGTCAGCAGCAGACGAGACGACCGGCGATGAAGATGGTAAGGCCAGTCAACACTGGCAGAATCATGCAGCCATGGAAGTGAAGAAACCAGTCGGCAGCCATGGCAAACGTAGGCAGCTTGTGTTGAAGATACTGATGCCTATTAGTAGTGACAGCGATGTAGCCAGCCGTGAAGAAGATAGCATCAGTTGGCGTTATAACAGGCCAGCCGTGTAGACGGAGGCACCAATCGGCGGCGGCGAAGGCAAGCCGGTCGGTGAAGACGTAGACGCCCAACAACGGCGGCATAATAGGCCAGCCGTACAGGCGGAAACACCAGTCGGCGGCGGCGAAGGCAAGCCGGTCGGTGAAGACGTAGACGCCCAACAACGGCGGCATAATAGGCCAGCCGTGCAGGCGGAAACACCAGTCGGCGGCGGACGAAGCGGCCGGTCGGTGAAGACGTAGACGCCCAACAACGGCGGCATAAAAGGCCAGCCGTGCAAGCGGAAGCACCAATCGGTAGCGGCGAAGGCAAGCCGGTCGGTGAAGACGTAGACGCCCAACAACGGCGGCATAAAGGCTAGCCGTGCAGGCGGAAACACCAGTTGGCGGCGGCGAAGGCAAGCCGGTCGGTGAAGACGTAGGCGCCCAACAACGGCGGCATAATAGGCCAGCCGTGCAGGCGAGGACACCAGTCGGCGGCGGCGAAGGCGAGCCGGTCGGTGAAGACGTAGGCGCCCAACAGCGGCGGCATAATAGGCCAGCCGTGCAGGCGTGGACACCAGTCGGCGGCGACGAAGGCGAGCCGGTCGGTGAAGACGTAGACGCCCAACAACGGCAGCATAATAAGTCTGCCGTGCAGGCGGAAGCACCAGTCGGCGGCGGCGAAGGCAAGCCGGTCGGTGAAGACGTAGACGCCCAACAACGGCGGCATAAAGGCCAGCCATGCAGGCGGAAACACCAGTCGGCGGCGGCGAAGGCAAGCCGGTCGGTGAAGACGTAGACGCCCAACAATGGCGGCATAAAGGCCAGCCGTGCAGGCGGAAACACCAGTCGGCGGCGGCGAAGGCAAGCCGGTCGGTGAAGACGTAGACGCCCAACAACGGCGGCATAAAAGACCAGCCGTGCAGGCGAAAACACCAGTCGGCGGCGGACGAGGCGGCCGGTGGTGATGTTTTGACTGATCCATTCCTAGAGCGTAAGAGATAAGCTTAAAGCCATGAATCCCTTTTATGCATATCTGGATCTGGATCCTGCAGAACAAACATATAGGATGAGTAGTATCTGATATAAATATAATACTCGAGAAAAAATCAAGTATTTTAAAATATTTATAAATATGTATTTCTCCTCTTGTCAATTTTGATTTCCCCGAGCAGATGACTCATTACGTTTAAACACTCTGCCCGACTAATCATAGCCACCAAGCACTGGGAGTCGGCCTAAGCACTTCCCAAACATGCATATGAGTGTCATGAGTTCGTCATTAATGGAACAAAGTTTCACGGATCGGAGTTTACTACTCGGGTACTTTTGCAATTATTAAGAGCAGAAAATAAATTTATCTCATCTCTATGCTTTTGATTTATTCCGAATAGTACTTAGCACCTTGCGTTACTCGGTCCATCCAACGAGCCCCCGGGTGCTAGGAATCGGCCCAAAGGCAACCATCCATTGGCAAACCAAACGGAAAGCATAGGAAGATAGAACTCCATAACTCGATAGGTACTTTTGTACTCAGATTATGTCGCAAGCAATCAAGATAAATATTATGAAAAATATGATATAACATCTGTAGCCCCCGACTCACTACTCAATGGAAGACCAATTGGTGTAGTGAGGCAGAGGAAAAGGAAAAAATATCATATAAAGAATAAAATAAATGATGACTTAGCTTTGTAATATTCCCCTTGGTGATGGCAGAAGTGGCCAATGTGGGAACAAAGTCGTCCATCAATAACAATGAAGACACCAGTTGGCGGCGACGAAGGCGGTCGACGGTGAAAGCGAAGATGCCCACTAATGGCGGCATGATAGGTCAGCCGTGTAAGCGGAAACACCAGTCGACGGCAACGAAGGTGAGCCAACGGTGAGGATGTAGACATCCAACAACGGCGGCATAATAGGCCAGCCGTGTAGGCGGAGGCACCACTCGGCGGCGACGGAGGCAGGCCGGCGGTGAAGTCGTAGACGCCCAACAGCGGCGGCATAATAGGCCAGCCGTGTAGACGGAGGCACCAATCGGCGGCGACGGAGGCAGGCCGGCGGTGAAGATGTAGACGCCCAACAACGGCGGCATAATAGGCCAGCCGTGTAGACGGAGGCACCAATCGGCGGCGACGGAGGCAGGCCGGCGGTGAAGATGTAGACGCCCAACAACGGAGGCATAATAGGCCAGCCGTGTAGGCGGAGGCACCAATCGGCGGCGACGGAGGCAGGCCGGCGGTGAAGATGTAGACGCCCAACAACGGTGGTGTGACCAACCAACCATATAGGCGAAGACACCAGTCGGCGGCGACGGAGGCAGGCCGGCGGTGAAGATGTAGACGCCCAACAACGGCGGCATAATAGGCCAGCCGTGTAGACGGAGGCACCAATCGGCGGCGACGGAGGCAGGCCGGCGGTGAAGATGTAGACGCCCAACAACGGTGGCATAATAGGCCAGCCGTGCAGGCGGAGGCACCACTCGGCGGCAACGGAGGCAGGCCGGCGGTGAAGTCGTAGACACCCAACAGCGGCGGCATAATAGGCCAGCCGTGTAGGCGGAGGCACCAATCGGCGGCGACGGAGGCAGGCCGGTGGTGAAGTCATAGACGCCCAACAGCGGCGGCATAATAGGCCAGCCGTGTAGGCGGAGGCACCACTCGGCGGCGACGGAGGCAAGCCGGCGGTGAAGTCGTAGACGCCCAACAGCGGCGGCATAATAGGCCAGCCGTGTAGGCGGAGGCACCACTCGGCGGCGACGGAGGCAGGCCGGCGGTGAAGTCGTAGACGCCCAACAGCGGCGGCATAATAATAGGCCAGCTGTGTAGGCGGAGGCACCACTCGGCGGCGACGGAGGCAGGCCGGTGGTGAAGTCGTAGACGCCTAACAGCGGCGGCATAATAGGCCAGCCGTGTAGGCGGAGGCACCACTCGGCGGCGACGGAGGCAGGCCGGCGGTGAAGTCGTAGACGCCCAACAGCGGCGGCATAATAGGCCAGCCGTGTAGGCAGAGACACCAGTCGGCGGCGGCGGAGGCAAGCCGGTCGGTGAAGACGTAGACGCCCAACAACGGCGGCTTGATATGCCAGCTGTATGTTGATCTGCTGAATCAACTCATGCATGCATGAAATTTCTCCGAGCAAGCTATAGGCGGCTGCTCCCATGTGCCCGTGGTGGCGTGGTGGCCGCAACGCATCCGTCGGCGCTGCTCCCGACTGAAGATTTGAGCCATCGAGATTAATCTCGCCGTTTCTTCTGTAGTCGATTCCATCACACTTTTCGATGGGTAATTCGACGCAGCCCCTACCTGGCGCGCCAACTGTCGAAACATGAATTCGGCAATAATAAAAGGGGGTAGCGCACGAGACCTAAAAGTGGATGGATGCGAAGACAAAGGATTTAGACAGGTTCAGGCCCTCTCAATGAGAGGTAATACCCTACTCCTGTTTGGGGATTTGAATCCGCCGAGTGTGTATTGATCTGACGATCAGGTTGTGTCATGCCCCCTAGAGGGCCTCCTGCCCACCTTATATAGGATGGGGGGCAGGATTACAAGATAGAAACCTTAACCAATACGGTATCGGTTTCCTAAATCAGGACTTTAGGCCGTTCCGTAATATACAAGGAAACGTAACACCCAAGTCATGATCTGTTACATATTACATAGATATAAGTTATCCCCTATAACTAGTCGGATAACCATGCCGTGTGGGTATGGGGTACCCATAATCTCCACACTCGACTTCACGGCGCGGCGGGGCACCACGTTCGCGTCGCACCAGTACGACACGGGGCCCTTCTACGACGAGATCCGGCGGCGCCTCTCCTTCGACTTCACCAAGAGCCAGCTCGTCGAGAAGCTCCGCCGCCTCAAGAAGAAGTACCGCCTCTGCGCCGCCCGCATGGCCTCCTCCCCCCACGCCGCCGCCGCCGGCTTCGCCTTCAGGACCCCCCACGAGGGCGCCATCTACGACCTCGCCCGCCACATCTGGCCCCCCGCCCTCAAGCGCGACGGCACCGCCTCCGACGACGACGACATCAACCCCGCCGCCGCAGCTGCCACTGCGGCAGTTATGACGCCTGTTGCGATGGAGGATGGTTTCGGCGGAAGCGCCCCTACGCCGACGCCGACGCCGAGGGGCAGGGGAGGGCGGCGCGTCCGGCGGAGAATGGCGCAAGAGCAGGAGGCCGCAGCATTGCCTTCCGCGCCGGCGCTGACCTCAACAGATGGAGCTCATCAGGAGCCGCTTGTCGCGGCCATGGAGAACACATTGCCGCAGATTGCGCAGCTGCCACCGGTGTCGGAGACGGAGCCAATGCCAGTGATTGCCAATGGTGCTAATGAGGAGGCTGTCCGGAGCGTTCTGTCACGTCTACTGAAGGAGTTCATCACCTCATTCGCTGTGGTTGGGCAGACTGGTCCAGGAATGGGCTTAAACATGGGATTTGGGGGTGCTGGATTAAACGCTGATATTGCTGGCCTTGGTTTCGGCATTGCCGGGCTGAACCCTGGGGTGCCCGGTGCTGATAGGTGGAGGCAGCATCAGATACTTGAGCTGGAGGTTTATCTGAAGAGGATTGAGCTTGTGCGTGAGCAAGTCACCGCCGCGCTAGATGAGCTCAGGTCATCGGAAGGTTGATTTGTTCTCTTGTTTCATAGTCCCGTCGATACTTTCTCTCATTAGCAGGGAGTACTTTCAACTTCTTCTGTTGTAGTGTGTGCCATTAGTTGATGCATGTATTATAAAGTTCTGATTGTATACTTGGATCTAGCTTAGCTGCAGGTAGTTGCCCATAAGGTTAGAGGTGAGAACATCGATGTGTAGATGAAATGAGGATCAAAGCTGATCAATACTTGTAGCTCTACTTTATCTTATAATTTGATAAAATGCAATGAAGAGTTTCGAGTCAGGAATTTTATGATCCATATTGTTTTGTTTTTACTTGATCAATCTTAATTGGTTGTTGGTTATGCATTTGTTGGTGTATTGTCAGTATTGACAGAAGGAATTGAAAATCAAATAAAATCACACAACACTATTCAATCTGCAATCATTATTCTATTGTTTTTTTTTACTTCATCAACACAGTTTGCTTCTCTGGATTCCTGAGATGGTACATCATTTTGCAAAAAAATCTTGTGTTTTCTGGAAAACAATAATGCTTTCAACCTTTGTGAAGGTTCGAAGTAAACAGCTTGTGATTTTTTTCTCTGTTTTTTAAGCAAAGGTTGTTGGTGCTTGTAATCTTTGGCAGCTTCTGTCGTTAAGTTTCAGTATCTTATATTGAGCACTTGGTGAAGTTTGCTGAACTTTTTGTGAACATTCCCTGTGACAGATAGTCTGCCTGTTCCATTGGATTGCATAGTGCAACCCAATGTTTTCTTGCAGAATAACTCTGGAAATTGCAACAATATCTTTGCTTGGTATACTGTGCACTATGATGATTGAAGAATCAAATATGAATCAACCATGGAGAATCCATTTTGTTTTCAGAGGAAAAGGAGGAACAAACTAACCAAATATAACATATGCATCATAAAAAAGGTTGGGATCAAATCTGTGAAGCAAGAACTGAAAAGTACATTTGGAATCCATATACAGTGACATAACTTTCTGTTATAAACCAATCATTCTCCTTCAGAGTTTGCTTGCAGGTCCTGGTTACTGGATGACACATTCTCCCCCGGGATATCTCTCCTCATAGTAGCAGCCATAGCCATACCCCCGTGGCGGGCAAGGTGGTGGGCAAGGTAGTGGGCAAGGTGGTGGGCAAGGTAGCGGGCAAGGTGGCGGGCAAGGTGGTGGGCAAATGCCGCGGTCGTGGCAGCCGATGGGAGGGAACGAGCAGGGGGTAGAGCAGGAGCAGGGGCAGCCTGGCTTGAGCTTGACGTTGCACTTCTCGCAGTACTCCTTCCAAGCCTTCTCCAATTTCTCCTTGGCCTCCTTGCAGGGGTCCTTCTTCTCCTCCTCCTTGGGCTTGTCGTCCTCCACAGAGACGATGCACGCGGAGAAGCACTTCTTCCTCAGCTTGCGCACGATGCGCACCGGGTCGACGATCCCGACCACCGTCAGCGTGCACTTCTCCGCATCAATGTCCATGGACTTGATCCCTGAAGAAGGTGGTGACAGCATGTAAGGCCAACAGAAATGCAATTTGCTCTGCAACCTCATGCAGATGACAGGTTGGCTGTGTATGAACAGCCTTCTTCTTCGCTGCTTCAGCTCCAATGCGGAACAGATTAAGGTATGGGTAAAGTGCTAGTAATATTTAGTGACATATCATGATTTTCAATTATTATAAACCATTTTTCATGATTTTCTTGTGCACGTAGGTCACAGCATTGCTGGAGAGACAGGAAGAAATACCCTTGATCGTGGCAACAATCGCCAAAATCTCACTCTTGCATGCTCTGCCAATGAGGTCAGCTTTGATAACAGTTTTCTGCAAGAAATTTACAACGATCAAATCACACGGGACAAATGATTCATGAAAACTAAAACCGATCAGTACGGCCAGCTAATGACTGCAGAACGAGATCTTTGTTTCAAACAAGAACTATCAACATGAAAGCCAACAAGGTCACCACTAACCTTCGACATTGTGGCCAACGCAATCAATCACTTATTGCCTATGCCTGTGTGATGGAGAACAGGAGGTTGTTGCAATGGAAGGGTTTGCAGTTTGCGGAGCCTGTCTAATCTCAAGGTGTTTATATAAGAGGAGCTCACTGCTGAAGTCAACTCGGCAACTGCCATGGCGCCATTGGCTGGGACTAAGTCATGGGGGAACATTTCCGCGTTTGTGTGTACAACATGTGTTGTAAACAAATCTAGTGGTTAACCCGCTGTCACAAAATTCTGCTCTGGAAAGTGCGAACAGGGGGGGCTGCATTTTGTTTGTTTCAGTGCCTAGTCAATCCATTCAGTTGATCATTTTTTAGATAATGATCCATTCGGTTGATAAAACTTTGCGAGATAGCAATGATTAGTGAAGAGGGATTGGGCAGTTCTTGTGCTGGTGAGCAACTATATTATAGCAGCCAGTTGTCAGGCTGGTCAGTCTGCGTTTTCAAGGTTTGATTTTTTTTTTCTTATGTGGAAGTTTCAAAGCAGCAATGTTTTATTCTCGCATATCACCTTCGTGTTCGTGTTCTAGTAGTAGCACACTACACTGACATCACATTGTCTTTATTTTGCTTGATTTGTCCAGGTTTAGCATAAACTACATTTACTTAAGAAAATGACAGGTCGTCAGAGTTCACCGGCTCTGCCTAACTTTTCTCTTCTTCTTTCCCCAGAAAACCAAGCATTTCAGGGATCAGGGTACAATTATCCTTTCTTTCAGCGGTGAAGATGATGCAATTCACTGGGCAACAAACCAACAAGAGGAATAATTTTACGGTACTTTAAAAAAATATGTTAAAGTATCTAAATTTTATACTAATTTTTTTTACCTGGTTAAAGTATCTAAATTTTATACTAATTTTTTTTACCTGAAGATATTTAGCATGTAAAGATACCGAATTTTACACTAGAAAATATAATAGTTACAAGTAATGTTAAAATTATCCAACCAACAATGTTTAGAGGTTCTATAATTGGTCGCACTCATCGTCTGCTTACGGAACGCATGTAAAACTGTTGTGCTGCTCGGAGTAATCAGCCTGATTAGCCGTAACAATAATCAAGAACGGCGTGGTTATTATTAAAAATTAGACACGACTCATTGAAACGATCGTTGCAATCATATCATTTTCTTTTCTTTTCTGCAGGGATCGATCATACTAGTGTTGTCAGTTTTGTCGGATGGCAGAAGAGGACACAGTAAAGTAGACCAGAAAATATTGAAGCCCGGACCAAACCCACGCCTACATAGGGCTCCTATGAAAAGCAGGATTTTGAAAACATAAAAAAAGGGTGTAATTTCAGGCTCAATCCTACCGAAAACAGAAACACAGGAATTTTAGATGAAAATGGAAAACATGAATTTTGATCGAATGTTTGGAATCTTCCAAACAGTGAAGGGATTGAAGAAAATACTATATGAATTTTAGAATCCATCTCTACGGGCCTGTACACTTTGATGCTATTTTCAATCTTTTGGTAAAGTTGTCAAAAAAGTGGCTACATTTAGTTTGTTACTAAATTTTGGTAAGGTTTTTTTTTTGGCATCAAAATGAATAGGCCCAGCAATCCAAAACAATCCAAAGGGCTCCAAAGAAAAATTCTCCATAAGAATTCAATCCTTTTGAATTCCCTACAAAATCCCTTGGTTCCAAAGGAGCTATAGGGATGCAAGTTACTAACCCGATTGAATTCCCTACAAAATCCCTTGGTTCCAAAGGATGCACTAAGTTACTTTTTTTTTTTAGAGAAGGGTATTTTTTACTTGATCTCTAATATCTAGTATGATCCTATGGATTGAGATCAAATGCAGTTGCTATTGTAACTGCACAATAGCAACTGCACACAATCATGGCCATTCGTTTTCAGATCCAACGGCTCTAGATGACTGCTACAGTGCAGGCATAATAGTACATACCTGCTACAGTGTTTTTGCTACAGTACCACTTCATATCCTGGCCTTCCGTTCTAGATCATGTGATGCACATGTAACTGCTTAAGTTACAGTTACAATAACAACTGCACAGGATGTTGATCCATGATCTATGAGTGGGTTAATTGGTCAACCTACTCACACAACTTCTAACCCTGTATTGTCCGACACCAACGGCATGGCTGCACTTGACCTAGTTGCCATGTGCTGGTGGCGAGCCCGTGCGTCTGCCTACTATCACCGGCCCCTGGCTAGTACACTCTAAGCATATACTGTTGCACACTAGGAAACCGAATTGGTGACCGAGCCCAACCTCCAAAGTCAGAACCAAAACACAGCAACCAGCCAAATACTTACTTCCGATCGATCTTGCATTCTTGCACATGTACGTACGTGCACAGGTCAATTAAGAAATAAAATAGGGGAAAAAAAAAGAAGAAGTTACTGCATGTGTACTATCCAAGGATGGACACGAACGAATTACAGAAACGCATATCAAAATCCAACTAGTGAAATTAAACTATTGTATGGAATTCGTAGGCCTGATCCGATCACGAGAGATTATCAAATCTTGGATCCATCCAATCCCAGCTACTTAGAATCAGGATACTCCAGCTTCAGAGTGTCACGGTTAACTTTCTCACCTATGTGTAAGTTACAAAGTTATTACCATGATTTTACATATGGAGAGAATCCTGATCTGGCTATCCAGACCCCGGACACCCTAAGGTCGACATAGCTCGATCGGTGCCTGGAGTTGAAAGTCCATAGGTTGAAACTTATTTTCACCATAATAGACCGAGATAATGAAAAATTAGTACATGCGTGAACAGTATAGATATGTTAGGGTATGTTTGGTAGAGCTCCAACTCTTAAATTTAGCTCCAGGAGTTAGGTTTGAAGGAACAACCTAAATCCAATTCCGCATCTCTAGTTCATTTTGTGAGAACGCTTCACCCAGCTCTACTTCTATTTTAGGTGGATCTGAAACTGTTCGACTGGGCTCTAGCCTTTAGCTTTAGAAGAGGTGGAGCTGGAGCTCAAGTTGAAGCTGTACCAAAGAGACCCTTGGCTACTGAATGATGCAGTGTCCTCCGGATTCTAGGTGATAGCCAAAGCCAAAGGAAGGCGACGGCTTGTAACTGTAACTGTAGGATTTGTAGAAGTAGCAGTCCGGCAGGGAGCACGGGCTGTGGTGGCAGCTCGCCGCGCACACCTTCACGCAGGCGCACTCCGCCTCCTTGCACTGGCACTGGCACGGATCATCGTCGTCCTCCTTCTTCTTCTCCGGCGCCGGCGGATCCGGCTCCTTGGGCTTGTCGTCCTCGACGCTGACGACCGCCGCCGCGAAGCACTTCTTCTTCAGCCGGTGCACGATCTTCACCGGGTCCACGGGGCCCAGCACCGTCAGCGTGCACTTCTCCTCGTCGATGTCCATCGACTTGATCCCTGCATGAATGAAGAAGACGGTGGCATGCCAGGTCACTGCCATATGGGTCCCACTCCTGTAGAATTTGTAGCTTCTTAATTAATTACCTTGTAGCGTGGAGACAGCATGCAAGATGTCTTTCTTGCAGCTTCTGCCGATGAGATCGGCTCTGATCACCGTCTTCTGCAAAAATTGTGTCAAATTGACAGGATACAGTTAATTAAGCATGATCTATATGCTACCTAGCTAGATCGACTTATTGTCATCACACCAGTTAGCTATAGTTTTCTTTTAGGCAAATAATTGATGCAGAGATCGATCGATGTGAAGACCAAACCTTGGACATTGTCTTGATCTGAGCTATGTCACCACCCTTGGGATTTTTGAGAGATGTCGACAGGTGGACAGAAATTCTGTGTAGCTAACCGGAGAGAAAGGGACGTTTGTTCTTGTGTCACTTGCTACTGGAATTTTATGCAGATACTATCTCTGCAAAGTCTGAATACCATTTTATACAATGGCGACCCAGCAAGTCAACTCGACTGGCAAACAATGTATAATGCAACTTGGGCTTAATTAGGACTAATTTGTGATTGTGGTCACTCTGTTCAGCAAGATAGCAACTATAGCCATATGCCTTTTTATTTTCCCTTTCTGAAAAATATGCTGCAAGTAGTCATTTTAAATTTGCTAATTATGGGCTAATTATAGGAGCAAAAATATGGCAAATTGGTGCAGGGATTCATGCATGCCTATGAATAATTAGCTAGCTAAGTGTGTGTATATATATATAGACTAATACACTTTGTTTATGGTCAGACGTATCCAGCCTAGCTATGGTCATTAGTCTGCTTGTTTTGTACAAAACAATTAATGGCAGAGCTACTGTGCTCTAGATGGGATCTAACACAGAAAACAAAGAGGATGCCAACGCAAAAACATGCTGAAAACACGCGCTTTGAACTTCAGGGCAGCATGTGATAAGAGTAAAAGAAAAGAGGAGAGGTGCCGTGTGATGAATTCGATCTCTGTATTAGTTGACTAAAGAAAATGTCAGCAACAGCAGGAGATCAAGTAGTTTCTCCATTCAGGGCCAATAATTTGATGAGATGTCTGCAGTGCCGACCTCTGAACCAAGTCAAATAACACTGTGGCTAGGGGACCATGGGTGTCAGGGTCAGCTCTAGCTAGGTCGTGTTAGTTCACCCCCAACTACTCCTAACTTTCAACTTTCTATCACATCACATCACATCCAAAATTTTTCTACACACGTAAACTTCTAACTTTTATTTTTTCCAAACTTTCAACTTTCCCTAAACTTCTAATTTTTTTCAGAAAGTAAACACAGCCCTAGTTTCCTTCAAGTTCGAGGACGATGAGCGGTACTGAAACCACCTGCGAGGTAGGTCGGGTGATCGCTCGGGCTCTACCGCTAGCGTCCTTCGTCAACAACACACATAAAATTATTGGTCACTAACAAACGTCTTTTATCAACCGATTTCATAGCGATGCCGATGGCATGGCTTCGAGCCAGCACGTTATACATTGCCAATAATGGGTCAGACTAGCTAGTTTAGAGGTTTGCTTTTCACATTAGTTTTATTGACTATGCATTTGTAAAATGAGTTTAGTAAAAGAACTACGATTAAAGAATTACGGTACCGTGTGGTTAGTGAAAAAAAAACAACTTCAAGAAATCATATATGAGGCTCGAAAAGGATACATTTGAAACCATCGTAAACCTTCTTTTTCTGACCAAGAATCATCAGAAGCTGCTTTTTTTGTGACGTAACAATAGTTAGAAGCCGTGATGCAAGCCTTTCGTTTTATTAAAAAACACTCGACCGCCATATAAAAACTAATCAACTTTGGATGCTTGCCAACGTTTTCATGGCTACGTGTCCATATTAATTATATTGTATTGTATGCAGGCCATGCATGAGAACCACAAGTTGGGAGGCAGGAGCTTAATTAGTCAATGGTACTCCGACATCAGTTGGTACTTTGCTGTACCTGCCAGAACAAACCCTTGATTAATACTCCCTCCGTATTTTAATGTACGACGCCGTTGACTTTTTAACCAACGTTTGACCATTCGTCTTATTCAAATTTTTTATGCAAATACAAAAATACTTATGTCATGCTTAAAAAACATTTGATGATAAATCAAGTCACAATAAAATAAATGGTAATTACATAAATTTTTTGAATAAGACGAAAGGTCAAACGTTTGTTAAAAAGTCAATGGCGTCATACATTAAAATACGGAGGGAGTATTTCATTAGAGAAATGCAAATGTATACTGGCTCACAAAAAAGAACATACTTGGGCCTATAAAAAAGAGGGAATATACTTGTGCACTTGACCCAATTTTATGTTTTAAGACCAAGGAGTATGATTTTTTTTTGGGGGGGGGGGGGGTTCCAGGAAAGGACTACATATGATGATTGAGCTGTTACTGAATAAAAAAGAAAACAGAAATTAAACCAGCTATACTTAGTTCAATCTTAGTAAGCAGGTTGATTATGGATGTGCTACCAGCTATCTCCAGTCTTTACAAGTCGGCGCATCGTTGTATTGATGTGTGCTGCTGATTTAAACCCTTCATTATGGTATTTCTTCTTGTGTTGATTTGTCCCAGTTTCCGGGGAAAAAAAGGGAAACATATGTGAGATCTTTCATTTGCATTGTTGCATTGATCATTAATTCCCCTGCATAGCTATGGGCAAATTTTCGGTCCAATTATTGAAGTCATCAAATACTCACCTTAAAAAGTATGGCTTGCCACGATATTTTAGGTAACAAATTTGTTAGCCATAGTTATGACAAACAAAGTTAGGCAAACTTTAAGAGTCTAATAATGTGCGCGCCAAATCTGTGATGAAACGTCCAGGCCGATGATGTTCCATGCAAACAACCGATCAAATCATTATTGCAACCCAAGTATCCATTAATTGGCTTGGCTCCTGATCCATATAAACATTCATTGTCGTATTCTAGGGCCATCAGTTGTTGCACTGGGGAGACATGAATATATCAATGAATCAAAGGGTAGGTTAAGAATGTATCTAATTTCTTTGAAGTAGGTAGGATGTGTTATCTTGGTTTTCAATCTAGTTTGTTTGTACCTTGTTGAGTTTGGAAAATCCAAATTGACATTCTTCTTTTGTCTGGGAGGAAGTAATAAACTCTCCTATAGCCTCTTACTTTTCTACTCATCCTACTGCTGCTCCCCTGAAGCGAGAGAAACAGAGTTCTTTTGCGCTTGTGTGAGATTAAGTGATACTACCTCTAGCATTACTTACATTCATATAAATGTTAATGAATCTAGACATACATATATATCTAAATTTATTAATATATATATGAATATGTGCAATGTTAGAAAGTCTTATAATATAAAACGTAGGAAGTACTGTATATCATGCAAATTTTAGATAATGTAAGCATTATAACTTCCTTCTTTGTTACTCTTTAGTATTCTCCACCAATTGGATATGCACACGAATATATGTATAACGCAAATGATAGGCTTCGAGTGAACTTTTAGTATATGTCTTGTCTTGCTTTCTACTACTACTCTAATTAAAATATCTCAACCAGGAAATTAATTGAATATGCATGCTCTAGTAGCAGCATGGTTTATTCTCGAAATTTAGTAACTTCTTCTCCTTGTTAATAAGCACCGACGTATATTCCTCTTGTTTTTGTTCGGTTTGTCGATCCAGGTTAAGCATTGAATAAATTAACTTACTTGAAAAGGTGAAAAGTGAGAGGCCACCAACACTGCAGAGGTTCCTTCCATACTCCTTTTTCCCTTTAAAAACCAAGCACTATTCAGCAATCATCAGGATGCAAGTTAATTAACTGACCAGTTTTCCTTGTTGAAGTGGGTGAGATCCTTTTGGCCCCAATCTTTGAAGATTCTAATTAGTGGTTACACTCATTATTTGCTTATGGATTGCATGCAAGACTACTGTGCTGCAGTGGACAAAAATAAATTTGATAGTAAGCCGTAACCATGATGAATGACGAGATGTCTGTTGTTAACTGAACAGCTGAGAAACAAGATGCATGAAACGACGATTTTTACAGTCAATATTATATATTTTTCACTCTACAATTTCATTTCAGCTGATAATTTCAAGACTGATGAATGATGAGTGGAGTTTATAACAACTAGGAAGGTAACCCGGGCAAATGCGCAGGTATGTATGTTAACCTTCATTTATAAGGATGAAAAATTAACCGGATTGTTTATACCACAATTTAAAAGTACGACATTGCTCAAATAATTTCTTTGGATAAGAAAGATATAAATAACTAAATACGGTTCTGTATGATATTTTTAATTAAAATATAGTTAATATAGGATGTACTCATAATCTCATTTGTATCTTATGTTTTTTCTTTGTAAAACTAAAGTACTGCAATGCAAATGTGGCGATGAGATCGTGGTGTTTTTCTATTTGTGACGGTAACAGTGTAGAAAATCACTCGGGATATGGGCTCTGAACTAAGAGCATGGCCAAGAGATGCCTAAAAATCTCTCTAAATCTCTTTTTGAGATTCTCTAATAAGGAAGGATTAAAAATATATTTTCTTTCAATAGAAAGTCTATATTTAACTTCTAAAATAAAAATATGGGCATTTCTAAATCTCTTTTTGAGATTCTCTAATAAGGAAGGATTAAAAATATATTTTCTTTCAATAGAAAGTCTATACTTAACTTCTAAAATAAAAAGATGGGCATTTCTAAATCTCTTTTCAGATTCTCTAATAAGGAAGGATTAAAAATATATTTTACTTCAATAGAAAATCTATATTTAACTTCTAAAATAAAAAGATGGGCCTCTCTCCACCCAGACCTTATCAGATAGTGCCATCTAGCTCCGCGATCGCCCATCTAGTGTCGCCCTCCCTATCACCTCTTTCCTTGGGCGACAGGCTGAAAAGATGGAAACTGGGAGTTAAAAGGAGAAGGGAATACCAATTTTGAAAGGAATGTCATGGGAACTGAATGGAGGAGGGACACTATTGGTGATGTTCTAATAGGATCAAACGTGATGAACCCTCACTAAGGATGACTACCGTTTCTAAAGAACGTTTAGAATGTTAAGTGTCTTCTAATCTGAGCCATTTATTTTCTTTTAAAATTCATGCAGTTTTTTCTTAGGAGGGTATAGAAGCACGTCTCACATAACTTACGTTTTTTTTTCACGTAAGTTATGTGAGACGTGCTTCTATACCCTCCTAAGAAAAAACTGCATGAATTTTAAAAGAAAATAAATGGCTCAGATTAGAAGACACTTACGTTTTTATTCGGTGAATACTACGTTCGAGTACACGGGAGATTTATTTTCAATGTTTTCTCATGTGAACGGTAATTCATATTTATACATACACGAAAGATTTTTTTTTTCCAATCTGGGAGGCATTATTTTTTCAATAGATCTAATCCAAATCCAAAACAAT